GACAAAAGCAGTTTGAGAACCAAAGGAGCATAAAAATCCTCTGTGTTATCACCAGTATCAGGTGAATTTTAATGGAAATACCCTGGAGCAAGCCAGACGGGTAATTTATGCATCCTTTTAGGGTTGAGTTAATGAGCAATCAACAGGATTTCAATTTTGGACCACCCCAAATTTTCATTCCCATTGTTATTTCCCCCTCTTTTATATGATTCTCTATTAAAAGAAGATAGTACAGTTTCATGGTATATTGTAATTGTCATAATTTCTTTTTTAATGATAAAAAGCACATCAGTTATAACATGTTACATTGTGTCACGTTATTTCTGCCTTTTCTATTCTCAGCTTCTTTACCACGCCCACCAACTATACATGTATCACACATGTCACTGCTTCTCCAGGCTCCTTTGTGCCACATATGGAGACTCTAGAAGTATTTTAACTCCTTCATAAAACTACTTCCTGTTTGATGGCGAATAGAGTATAAAGTTGTGTTCTCCACTAGGATGTTGTGGGGCGGTCTCAGGATGTACAAGAAGAATGTTGAGGGAATTCAGTAAAACAGATAGCTAAATGAGGACAGATGTGTCAACATAAATAATCTCTCATCCTTGTTCAACACTACCTTAAATTGACACACCATGAAAAGGCTGCTGTTGCCATGGAAGCGCCACTGACCATGAAATTGGAGGGGTTATGTTTTAGTTGTATATATAAATGACTTTTATATAAATGCCCGGAGCACCTTTGTTTTAGCCTTAAGTAGTTTATGAATAAACAGAAGGTTTTATAGGGTAGAATCCTAACAGGGTAATCAGGATCCTTACATACACTGTGGGGTCTTGCCTCACAACAGGGTCCAACAGGACTCCATGAACCAGGGCAGAACTTGATTAAACTTTCCTGCTTTGTCACCATCAGAGTCTGTGTTTTTTATTATCATGACTTAAAAAAAACTGACACAGTGTCATGTTGTGTCTCCAGGTCATTCATATCCTCAGTTTGATAGATTTCTATAGTCTGCAGACCGTGACCCGTGTGTGTTTTTCAAGTTAAACATATTGTTTTAGGTTTAGGTTTCTGTCTTAATTTGTAGACTAATTGGTTCATCAGAATTTATGCTTTATCCATGGTGCAAACAAACAATCACTGAATTAACTTCTTTTTGCTCATCACTATGGTTACTCAGTCTATCACTGTCTTTGACCTAAGCCATTTCCATAGCAACAGAGTGTTATTCGTGGCAGTGGTCTGCTATAAAAAAAATAGCAGACTCTTTCCATGAAATATAGCAAATAAAGGACAAACCAGACTTCAGATGCAGACTTCACCCAGCATTATAACAACAAAGTGAAACAAACCCGGTCAATATTATTTTGTGTAATGATATTTTAAACTGGAAATACCTTAAACAGAATCCATCCCCCAGTTATGAAGACATCAACAGACAATTCTTTGATAAATCTGGCCTAATGTTTAGAACACCTTCTCTGCCTTTCTTGTTGTATGTGTAAATAAATTGATTTGCAGTCACAACATGAGCTTATGCTGACCAGCATGTTAAAAATGGGGCTTTGAAACTGTAATTTGTCACGTGAAGTGGCATATTAACCTGGCCCTTTACACACACACTCACACACAACGCCTGTGTGTACGTTCTGCTCTTTAGTGGTTGAGTAAATGAACATGATATTTAAGTGACTGCTATTTCCTGAGCTCAGGCTTTTCTTTCTTCCTCCTCCTCCTGGCTTTTCTCTAAATTTCCCTGGGGAGCCGTGGCCCCCCTGGGTTTGGCTCGGTGTCAGAGCCCCGGCAGCCATGATACTTCATCAGGCTTTTGCACCATTATTGGCAAGAGCACTCCATATCCTCTTAGCAGTTATAGCTTTTCAATTTTCCTTTGAAATGCTGAGCCTAGAAGAACATATGGCAATATCTTGGCTTTGAGTCCTGGATTGGACTGAAAGCCTGTAAAACGGCCTTGCATCCTGAACACGCAGCCACAGGCGACACACCGTGACCTTTTTGGACTTTGAGAGGCTGCTGTGAATACTGTTGGAGACATTTATAATAGGCACAATTACAAGATGCTGTTGGAACAGTTTGACACAGTAATGTTATGGTGTTAGCTGTCCTATAAAGCATTATTCCTCTGCCAACCCCCTCCTTCAAGTGTCTCCAGGGACCCATTCAGCATGATGAAAGGGTCAGACCTCCTCCATCACAAAACACACACTTACAAACACACTCTCCTGCACGCTCAGGTAGTTACAGTCACTGAGTTTCTGACTGCTCCCCCTGCAGACAAACAAAGAGACTGTACAGGTTCAATTACACCCATTCACCCCATCTCTACCTTAAAACAAAGACACTAAATCAGCGTCTGAAGACCTAAAGACTTTCCGGGAAACGCAAAGCTAGTCAGTGTTTCTGGGAAGACAAGAAACATCAGAGCAGGAAAAAAAACTATCAAATATGTTCACCAGCTATTGTATCATTTTCAGCTCCTCAACAGATTATGGATTTTTAGTCCATTCCATTACTAATTCATGCTGGTGGAGGGGCTGTGGATGAGGGGAGGAGGGTCGACCCTCCTGAAACCTGATCTGGATCAATAGGGTTGACCTTGGGCTGGGCTGCTATCACACACACTGGACTTAAAAGGAGGTTCAGACAGATCTTTGAAGGGTGTGTCAAATATTTAAATAATAGCATGAAGTTTGAAGGGTGGTCTGAAATTTTGTGAAAATCCTTGTTTGCTTTCAGGAGAGTTAAATGAGAAGACAGATCCAGCTCTCATGTCTTTATTCTCAACAAGGATATCATTTAGCAGCTGCAGGGTGTGCTATAGAGTTTAAACTGGTCAACTGGTTTACACAGTTGACCACAGTTCAAGTTTAGTTTTCAGCCAACCCCAAAAATCTGCAAGGACACTTCTTTTGTTTGCTGCTCAAAGTGCGAACCACCTTCATCTGCCTTAACACACACAGGCTTTACTGTCACTGGGGTGAACTACTCCCATGTGCTCGTTCATAAGTTGGAAAATTAGCCATTCAGGTTCCCAAAGTATGAGCATGTTTAGCATTTGAGTCTGTTGACCATCAAATTTTAGTCAACAGACATAGGATTTTGAATATGGTGTTCCTCAGGGGAGCATTCTGGGGCCTATTCTATTTTCACTCTACATGCTTACACTTGGGAATATTATTGCACATCACCACATCAACTACCATTTTATGCTGATGACACTTAACTGTATATATCTGTCTCACCACATGGCCCAAGTGCACTTTTGTCTCCTCTGACATGTCTTACAAACATATATGTATGGGTGATCAAGAACTTTGATGTTTGTCTGGTGCAACTTGTGTTATATGTTGTAATGTTTTCTTTTTTGTTTAAGGAACAAGTGTCTTGGATGCAAGAAAGTTTTCAGATGAGATTCTGATGGTAAAGTATTTAACTAACTTACTGACTAACTAACTAACTAACTAACTAACTAACTAACTAACTAACTAACTAACTAACTAACTAACTAACTAACTAACTAACTAACTTACTTACTTACTAACTAACTAACTAACTAACTAACTTTTTAAAACTGAATGAGCAATGGCTTGAAGGTCTTGAAGTAACTGCAAAAACAGCCAGAGAAAAATTCAATGCTGAGAGGCTTTAACAGGCAAATGTCACACACTCTGGGATGGTTTTAGGGTCTGATTTGGATTTTAAAAATCATTTCAACAAAGTAATCAGTATTTGATTTTAGAATATACAGAACATTGCCGAAGTTTGACCTAATTTATCCCAGAAAGATGCTGCAACTTACTTTATGCTTTTAACATCAGCTGCATTGATTACTGTAACTCTCTCTTGGTGGCCTTGCACAATCTGTTTTTATTTTCCAGCCATATCACTAAAGTCCTCAAATGCTTCTGTTTTAAATGTTTCTCATGTGTCCCATACAACCTGCATAGCGAGAACTTTCTGTTTTTATGCTCCTAAACTATAAAGCTCTCTGCCTCTGGATGTTAGATCAGCAGGGGTATTCAAGTATTTTCCACAGAGGGCCACATCAAACATTGTGAAAATACCTGAGGACAAACAAGCTCTATTTAAAATTTTTTTAGCCTGAGGAGTTTCAAATGTGTTGTGTTTGTGCTTTCATTACAGGCTACTAATATAAAAACTTCCTTTTCCCCTGACTGTCTCTTGATATTTGATTGTCTTCAGATCTCTGTACGATGCTATCACAAGCCTCTGTTTTTTAAGGAAAGTGTTTTCCATTAGAGGTAAGAATACTGACAAATGTCATATCCTACTGTTTTTTTTTCATGGCAAGTTTTATTAAACTTCTTTTCTCAGAAAAAGCAAAAATCTGTGCTAAGTCAGAATCTGATTTTGATCCTGATTTAGCGGAAATTTAGCTTTTTTTCTACACCATTTCACTATTTCTATCTCATCTTTTATCCATGTTTGTGTCATTTGAACTTTCGACTAGTGGCCTATGTTTAGTCCATGTGTAGTTTTGCATGACTCAATTGGATTTAATTTAAATTTGTGAATGCAGTTAAAAGAAATTCCAACTTATAACACAATTCAGTAAGTTTCTGAGCCAGGAATAAAGCTTTTTAATATGACAGCCAAGCACCTGTAGAAAAATGAATACAGAGCTATGACTGGCCCTTTAGCCAGACTTTGCACCACATTAATTATGACTTATTTGGGAGGTTAGTTCTGCTAAAACATTAGCTGACACAAGCCAAAGACCTCCCTTGTATGGAGTTTCTGATTTATTCTTAGTTATGGTTTGACATTTTCTGGAGCAGACTTCTAAAACTTCAAAGTTATGTTTGTGATCAGAGTTTTTTCAAACAAGAAAATAAAAGTCATGATTGATACTTTCTTTTCCTACCTTGTGATTTAGTTCTTGTCTATGTTTTCTCTTGGCGATTTGTATTTGAATATTGCACTGCGAGAGTAACACGAGTAACACAGCAGCATGTAATTGATGTATTTTATTGTGAGATGGGGAGTCATAAAAAATGAACAAAAAATAAAAGAAACAACCAAAAACAATCACTATAAAAAAGGATGATGGTGTTAAAGGCAGGGGGCATATAAAAGTGGGCGTGGTCTTGACACTGACATATAAAGTAACAAATTGGCACAAATAAAAAGAACATACGTCAATATTATTTTGGCTTGGCAAAAAGGACAGTTTGTGTGGTTAAGGATAATCCTTCAATAAAACAGCACACACTCATGCTATTAGACATACTATTAGTTTTCAAAAGTTCAGTAGCTTCATATTAGAGAGGGGAAAGAAAACTAAACTAACATGAGAATGGATGCAGAGAGGTCACAGGTTCCAATTTTCAGGCTTGCAGGGTGCGAGTTTCTTCTTCTCCCAAGGAAAAACATCTTTTTGTTTGTTCGAAAAACATACTTCAGTACGCCGGAGTCTCATTTTCCAGGCTTGTAGTTATTTGCCTTTGAATGTTTTTTTTTCCCATACTAAAATATATTATCGTATTAATACAAACTACAGTATTGTACACTACATAGTGTAATAAATAACCATAAAGAAATATAAAAAATAAGACACATAAATATAAAAGTTCTCTAAACAGGACTAACAGACATACCCATCTCCGTGGGGGCTGGGATAATACTGCCATTGCTGAAAACATACAGTACACACACTGAAACAGAACATACGACAACAAAGGAGACAAAAATAATACTGACAGGTAAAAAGGTGATGAATTGAACTCCTGGGATTTATATTCGCCTTCATTTTGTTACCTGAAGAGACATCAGAGCGTGTCAAGGTGTGTCAAACAAGTGCACTGAATAAGCTTTGAAAGGCAGGACACAGTCAGAAACCAGACTTCCTCAGCGTCTGTTAGAAAACATGTGCATTGTAATTCATTTCGCTGCTCAGATTAGACACAAAAGAAGCTTTCCTAAAATCTATCATACATGAGGATGTGGTCGGCTGCTCTTTCAGGTGCGGTGTCGAGCCAAAGTCAACAGTATCCCGGCTAAATGGTTGATCTGGGCCCTGGCAAAACCTGATAGCTGCTGCTAAGCTTCAACAGCAATATTCAATGGCACTTTTGATATGCATGTTTCTCTTGTTTAGGTTTTTTTGCATATGGCTCGGAGTACGGGGAAGGTAGGGAGAGGGTCAGACAGTTCTCGCTCTGAATGGTTAAAGTAACAATTTGACATTTTGGGAAAATACACTTACTTTACTTTCTGGAGTAGAAGATGAGAGAAGGTGCAAAAATAAGTTATTAAAGAGGAGACTGGATCACAAAGGGGTCACTTTCTCTTTGAGGATCAAGAGGGAAACCTGTTGGAGTCTGTCCAACGGGTGACTTTTTTTCACAAAAACCCTCCTTTTTGAACCATAAGTCATGTATACTACCTTTTGAGCTTTAAATTCATCAGACACTTAATCTAACTGTTTAAAGAAAGCAGGGTACGATTTTATATTAAATAGTACCATCTTGTACAGAATAAGAGTGGCAAAGTCATTAGGCTTTATTTTTGACCATAATCAGCCCATAAAAGTTCCTCACAGAAGCTTTAAAGGTAAGAGGATGATCTAGTTAAGGATCACCAGTTTCAGTCTGGTATGCATGATTGCAACCTACTGGATCTGAATCGAAATATATTTAACCTTTGCTGGTTGTAACTTAACTTTCTAGTAGAGTAATGAAGCGATAATATTTTGCTCATTGTGCACCTACGATGCCAGGCATATGTTGGGTCGAAGCTGCAGCACAGCTGCCCACCACTAGTCTGCTCTGTAGCCAAGTATGTAGGTACAGCTGTAATGCTGTAATGATTCTCTGCTCTATCTGGTTAATCCATCACAAAAACACCTGACCGGATCAATGTGTGTCCTGCATGTGCATGGGGATGTGAACTAACGATGAGGGCTAAAACATGAAGGTGCTAGTTCTGCTAATGTTAGCCATGTTCACCACCCGAGCACAAGCATATATAGCCAGGTTACCTAAATGTGATAGTTTCCTTCGTTTTCTCAGACTTTTCTTACTTGTAATCCAGACAGCTATAGTTGGAATTGACATTTATTTTTTTTAAGTAAAAGACTAAAAAAATGTGTCATTGGGAACATCTCCACTAAAAAAAAAAAACTGCCAGCTTTATCAAACTACGTTCAGCTTGATTTGGCTGTTCCTAATATGCTGGTCCTTGTTTGGAGCTAAGCAAACAGGAGAGGTGTGAAAGTGGTATCTACCTACTCATCTAACTCCATCAAAACAAAGAAAAAAGCACATTTCCCAAAGTGTCAAACTTTTCCTATAGATCACTGTGTGGACAGAAACTTTGACAGTAATGTGTCCAAAAGAATCAAAATGGCTGAAAGGAACCATTCCCGCTCTCCTTTGTTTTCTTCTTAAGGCTCGCAGTCCAATCAACAAAAACAAAAAAAAAAAAATCTAAGTCATGCTAACGTCTGCTAGCGTGATGGCGTGGTACATCTAGTGCGGTAATACTGAAGGGTAGAAAACACAACTCAACTGTTGAATCCAAAGGTAAACCAAGCCACTTGTAGTGCACAGGATTTTCTTATTTTCCTTCCAACTTAATAAAATACTGACTTTTTTTGTTCATTGGCAATAAAAAGGTATAGAAATATCTCCCAACTGTACAGCTTTTAAAGGTTAAAATATGAGTGATAAAATTAGTAACACTGATAAAAAGAAATGACCCAAGGTGTTTTAGTAATAAAACATTATCTAAAACGTGTCGGCTCTAGCTTCCAAAGTCTGTATAATGCATCTCCTTCGTTTGTTAAAATTCATGTTTGTCTTCATTTTTTTACAAATGGATTTCTCTAACAGTGAGACATCGTTCTCCTGTGGAAAAGTCACTAGTATTTTTCAGGCACACCTGGATTTCTACACAGTAGTGAACTGAAACAAACAGTCAGAGTGACCAGACGTCGCCTCCTCTGCTCCTCCTCTGCTCGGGGAGAGGAGGAGTCTGATTGTGTCTCATGGAGGAGTCTGATTCCTCTCTTAGTCTCCTTCCTCCTGTGACGTCTGCTCCTGGTCTTCAGAAACCATCTCCTTGTTTGTTTCGCCTCCACTCTCCTCCGTCACCTCCTCCTCTGCTTTCTCTTCTTGCGTCACCCCTTCTTCTGTATCCATCACCTCCTCCTCTTCTTCACCCTCCCCTTTGATCTCCTCCTCTTCCTGAATACTGCCGAGCACCTCCTCCTGCCTTGTGTCGGCCTCCTCTCTCACTTCCATCTCCTCCTCTGCTCCTCCTTCCACAAATACTCTCTCTATCTCCTCCTCATTCCTTGCTACCTCTTCCTCATCCCCTCCTTCCTCCTCTATCTGCACCACCTGGATGTCATTCATGTCCACTGCGCCCTCCTCCTCCTCCTCTTCCTCGCTCTCCTCATCCTCTCTGGTGCTGCTCCCTCGATCGTCTAAGTCCAGCTGGGAGGAGCCGAGGAGCTGCTGCAACCGATTCAGAGCCTCCAGCTCGGCCTGAGCCTCCCCGTCATCCTCTGGGCTCCCTGGGCCTCCTCCTTGGCTCTGCGTCTCCTTCTTGCAGTAAGAGTAGCGGTGGTTCATGTGCTGCGAGTAGGAGCCTGAGTGGGAGAAGCGCTTGCCGCACTTGTCGCACTGGTACGGTTTCTCCCCCGAGTGGAGGCGCATGTGTTCGATCAGGTGGTGTTTGTGTTTGAAGGCCTTGGTGCAGATGCCGCACTCGTGTGGTCGCTTCCCTGCAGAGGGAGGAAAAATAAATAAACATCAACATTTCTGTTCGAGAAAAATGAAATAATGTTGAGTGAAAAAAATGCAGACAGAGCAAACAAAACAATAAACACTGCAAAGTGATGCAGATAAAAACAGTCAGTGTACTCCGCTATCACTTCCATATGTAGGATCGTTCAACAGCTTTGATAATCTGTGCCATATGAGTATAAGGAGTAAAACCTTTTACTGTTAGTGCAGCTCTGTGAATATTTTTGTAAAAGTTCAAAGAGAGCTGCTAACTCTTAATCATATTTTTATAAACACTTATAACTCAGGAACAATAAAAGTCCTGCTGGAAACTTTTACTGTGAAATGACACCACTGTAAAGGACACCCCAGACCATGTGAAACAACATCAAAAAGAATTACTGAAGACACAGGGCTATATGCTCAGCAAACACAGTAGTTCTGCACCAGTTTTAAGACCTGGAACAAGTTCTGTTGAAAAGCTGGGTTTTTAAAAAGACTGTGAGGAGTTTTTAAACTGACAAACTGAAGGCGTGTAAGTCCTTGGACAACTATATTTGTGTTTGGCAATCATACGAAAGAATGACAAATACATAGTTTCCTGGTTTGTTTTGCTAACAAAGCTAACAGTAGCTCATGTGATAAAACAGTTGATGTTACAGAGAAATCCAGTACTCCTCCTCTGGAAGCCTCATCAATGTCTGATTAACTGGTAATGATAACCCTCATCTGGTGTTTTGGATGAGTGCCTCCATTCAGTCCTTTAGTCTGGTTGCATTTAACTGAAGTTGTGTTTCTGTGGACAAGCAGTGGTGGCTGGTAAATGGTAGAATATTGGTTTCGAGGCAATTAGTTTCTCTATTCTGGTACCAACAACACCTAAAGATGACATTTCAAGACTCCTATGTCACCTTAACCCTGCTACAGGAATATGTGTTTGCCTCCAGTTTTTTTTGTCTCTTGCCAGTACTGTGAAGTCAGGGTGATGCCAACCAAAAAAGGGTCTATACCGACCTGTCTTTATAGCATGTAATGTAAAACATTATAAACAGCAAGAGGACTGATCATTTCTTCATACTAAATTGCAGAGGTTATTTTTGAAGTTGGAAAAAAGTGAAAAAGCTGAGTCAAACTTCTGCACTCAAAGTGGGCAGGCAGAGTGTCGCTACTTCTCTTGATTTTTAGTATATTTTTGAGATTTTATGCTTTTCTTAAGAGGGATAGGAGAGTGACTACAGCAGGAAACTGAGAGGGAAAGTGGGGATTTATTGTATATTGGCATCAATCCCAGGTAGCCCACTTTGAGGACTATAGCCTCTGTACAGGCCAAAGTTCTACAATGAACCTCCCTTGGCATAGCAGCACTTTTTGGGCACTTCTTACACTTCTCTTGGCATAATGGCACCCATGACACACTACACTATGCCTCTGTCCAGTTGGAAGTGTTACAAGACCCTCCCCCCACTTGCCTCTTTTTACCAGAGAGTAACATCAAAGTGTGTGACAGTGTTGGATTAATGAGGAAAATATTCATTAAAAGAATATTGGTTTGTTTTTAGTGCGAGCACTAAACTTAGACATGTCCCTCATTTGAAAAGTTGAGATAACACCTCTCCAAAGATTTTGCTTGGATATTATAAAACAGGATTCAGAAATTAATTTTAATGCAGGCCATTTGGTAAATACCATCAAACAAACCATATCCTTGGAGAGGAGATAACCCATTTCAAACAACTAAGTCAAAAGAGTGAGTGGAATAGCAGCCAATGAGACTATTCCCTGATAGACTGTTCAGAAAGTTTTTCAAATCCCTACATTTATTGATCAAAAACAGTGTGTCCTAGTTTTATTTGCCTTTTTGGTTGTTTCATAGTTTTTTTTATTTTATTTTCTGCTTACTGCCCTTACAATGTGAAAAATGTTCATACCAAAACAAAACTCTACAGTGCAATCAGTGAATCCCCTCTCAGTAGTGTGTAAAAGGTTGAAGTTGAGGTTTGTAACAGCATCTATCATCAATGTATCCAAGGAGAGCATGTCAAAACATTACAACAAAATCACAACAAACGCTCTCTAAAACCTTCAAGGAAACTTTATCCAGGCTGGGAACAGCTAGTTTCACCTAGCATGAGGTCATTTGGAGCTGAAAACTGTGTTTGCAAGCCAGGTATCGGAGTAATAAAGAAAAAAAGTAAAACGCCTCTGAGAGCCTTGACCTGCACTTGGCCACAGAATCATCATCTCAGAACGATCCAAATCACTACCAGAGCTCGCCTCTTGCAACATTTGGTGCTTCACATGAGAAGCTGGCAGTGCAGAGGTGGGGAGTTGGCGGAAAGAACTTCTCAGACCTCTTCTGTGCATGTTGAGTAATACCTGCAGGAATGGAGGTGTCCACCCTTCTTTACGCTCAAGCTCAAAATCCCCTTTTCGCTCACACACTGACTCATCTTTCCCAGGAGCCAAGAGTACGTGATGGTGAGACAAGTTCCGGTTATGTGTTTTTCTTTTGGTCATATTTTTATGTAGGCCTGAGAAACACATGGAGGTTTGCATTTACCTGTGTGTTCATATTTGTGTCTCAGCAGTGAGCTGCTTTTCTGGAAGATCTTGTCGCAGAGGTCACAGGCGTACATGCCGCTCTCTGTCTTCTTCATCTTCTTCCTCTGAGGGCCTGAGTCTGAGTCGTTCTGCTCCTCCATGTTGGACATGCTCTCTAGGCCTAAGTCTGACCTCTCCTCCTGGAGAAAATGACAAATCAGACATGTATGAGTGGACATTTAAAATGAAGTTTATCTGTTTTTACACCAGAAAGAGTGGAAAAAGAGATGAGTATCTTTAACCAGGCCTGACAGATACATCCACTGACCAATATCACAATATTTTTTTACCTTTTCTTTCTTATTTTTTAAACAACATTTAAACACATAGAATAATGCTGGGGCTGGTTTAGACATTGTGCGTCATTTATTTGAACCAGCAGAGTGTACTTTGACTCCATAGTTTAGAAATTTCTGTATCAATGTTGTCAGATTTTTCAAGACATTGTTCCTTTTCAATACCACATCCTCTAAAATGATGCCATGTCTGACAGTTTCACATTTGACATTGAAAAGCACCAAAGCTCGTGGAACAAACGAAAGAGAAAGTACAAAATACACAGCCCCTCTGGGTTATGAATGATAATTCACAGGAAACACTCCGTTTTGGTTACATATCAGTTTTTAGGAAAATTGCATTAGCGTTGCCCTTTATTACTGTTAAAAGGACATCGTATGTTGGTCTGTATTCAGTACGCAGGAACACTGCACACGCTTCAGATCAAAAATAAAAAAGTTGTCCATTTTTGAGCACAGGAGTTCACTTTTTTGTTGCCTTTGCGTCAACACTGGTATTAATATTTTTCTTTTTTTATGATATGCTAGGGTGACCATATGTTCTCTTTTACCTATACATGTCCTTCTCTTTGGGCCTTGTCCAGGAAGTTTATAAGATCCTTCAAATGTCAGGGGTTTTGTACGGAAGTTCTGAGTTTGTGTCACGTGGACTAACTGAGTGAGAGGCGCGTAAAAAACACTCGACCCCACCTGAAAAACACTCAACATTTACTAGGTGCGACTCCAGGACTCTGCCCCGCGTAGTAGTGTCCTCTTTTTGGGGATTCAGAATATGGTCACCCTATGATATGCACTTAAGTTCAAATTCTGTTCATGCAGCAACTTATCTCCACACAGCACGAGCAGGCACTGACCTAAAGATTAGGACAGAGATCTCTAAAATCTCCATATCTGTGTGAAGAACCCCAGACCAGTCTGGAGCCTCCTTAGAGCTCTCTCTGGAGACGGTCGTGAAATTGCACTTAACCAATATTTCCTTTGCTATGAAACATATTATGAGCACACCTACAGATTTCCCCTCTCCCAGGACTGCTAAAAGTCCTCAGTGATGCAGTCAAAGGATGTGGGGCAATATTAAGGAGAAGAAATATAATACACAGTGCTCTTTTTTACAGGGCAGGTCTATGCCAATCCACTTAACAAGAAAGTATGATACAACAACAATAAATCAATGAGGCAGGCAGAGGTGTGCTGTTTAAACAGATTCCTGCAGATCAATAGAAGCTCTGCAGTTAAGTGCAGCCTCATGTCCTCCTGGTGACAGCCCAGGAAGATCACTCACACACACCCAGAGATCTACATCCATCACTACAGGCCCATTAGGTGTCTGCACAATGAAGAACTATTAAGGGCTATCATTTTTACAAAGCGCTGAATTCTGACGTTTCTATATAAGACTTATTGATTAGATCTGAGATGCTTTCAGACTATCTATCATGTTCTGATGCTTCTGAACAATAAGAAGTAATGATCCAGACTGAGGGCTTTGACTGATTGCTCCCTAAAGAGAAAAAAAAAACTTCATTCTGATCCACTTGTTTCTCAAAATGACAACCAGATCAGACACTCAATAACTACTTATAAAAGAGCAAAATCAGTTTGCTATTAAATGAAACTTGAGAAACACTTCAATGCTGACAAACCTGATGAAGTAGTAGTTCCTTGGGAACTACTCTGTCATTCAAAAACAGTAGTTTAGTTTATTGTAATGGACCGCTCTGTGGTAGTGATTGATTCTTTCCATCACTATAAGTTTAAATACATATCCTGTATACTATATATATTATTATCTAATAAGTTCAAAAAGTTGATAAATGGTAAACACTCATTTTGCTTTAACAAGTAATATAATGCATTCATTCCTTTACATAATTCTTTTCTTTTCACAGATCTTACCTGTTGCCACAAAAAACCTTAGGGTGCATTGGCAGCATTTCTGTTTCCCTTCTTCTTCACATTAGTGGAAGAAAAACCTACATTTGTGATTGTGTGTGTACACAGCTAACAGCCTATAGTTTTCAGGAAAACACCCTTTGTATCTGTTTAAGTAAAGTTATCTGGCATTGATCTAGGGCTAGGCAATATGGCCTCAAATCAATATCACAATATATTGAGCAGTTCACCTCGATAACAATAAATGGACGATGACTCCCTCCCACATTGACTTTGTTTACTTCAGCCGCTGCTCCAGCCACTACAACTTTTGAACCGTCATCTATCTCCTCACCTGTCTTTCCCTCTTTCTTACAGACTGGATGGAGTCATGTCTCCGACATAGCACAGCGTCTTTAAGGGAAATGAGACCATAGCCTACCTACACACATCCAAAACCAACTTTTATTTTATTTATTTTTTTGACACCGAATATACTGACATGGGCAAAATGACATTGGTTATTGTTGTAAATTTCAGTATCAGTAGATTTTCGGTTTTATCGCCCAGCCCTACATCATTATTTACATGTACTCCTTTAACTTTCTGCATATAGTCTTGGAATGTCCTTGAAACTTTTAAGACTGAGAATCCTAGCTGATGAATTCGAGGACACTCATGGCTGCTCACCTTGATTCCGTTGAGGTGGATGGTCTCCTGGGTCTCGGTCCCTGCTGGGCTGCTTGCTGTAGTGGTATAGGTATAAGCCAGCTGAGGGATCAGGATAGTCTGTTTGTTGTTAGTGGATAGTGCCCTGAGGCATTGCATTGTGGTCACAATGTCGAGGGGTTTGGCACTTGGCTGGCTGGCGTACAGTGCGATGGGGCTGCCGCCCATGGCTGAGAGTGGCGATGCGTCTTTCTTTGTGCAAGTTAAGTTCAGGGGTTCATCCACACTGGTAGAGCCTGAGGGAGGAGAGGGGTAAACTCGGGACTTAGTCACCACCCTCTCTGCCTCCTCTCTGGCGGGCTTTGGCAGCGACAGGTCTAGGGGTCCCTCAGTGCTGGGGGACGGCTGGATCGGGACAGGACCTCCAGCTGTCAGGTTTAGTGGTGAGGGGGAGGCTGGCGAGCTGTGGGTGCCGTTAACTTCCGCTGGGGTGGCCTCTGTGGGGCTGTCTTGGTTGACAGAGGGGCTCATGGCCATTTCCTTGCCTGGGACCAGAGACACCACGCTGCCAGCTTCACAGGTATCCTCCTCCTCTGAGGGGGGTGTTGGTGCACCCAGTGATATCTGCCCCTCCTGCATTTTATCAAACCACTTCTTAACCACATGGACTGGTAGGCTGACTGAGTCAGAGATCTTGGCCAGCTCATCCTTGGTGGGCTCTGCGTTTAAGGCAAAGTAGGCCTTGAGCAGGGACAACAGGTTCTTAGGCTGGTTGCAAAGTCCTCCCTCTGACAACAGGGCGGCAACAGCAGACTCAGACTTATCCAGGCCAGATCCATTCAGCCTGAGACCATCCTTTTTGCAGTGCTTGAGGGCGTGGAGAGCTTCCAGCCCCCCAGGACAGTTATCACACAGGAGACATGTTTTAGTGGTCTTTTCCTCTTTTTCTTTAGTCTCATGGGGCCTGGAGCCTCTGGTGGTGAGATCTTCAGGAAGTTTCTGGGACTTGAAGGTGTCTGTGGTGCTCTGGGCCAGTGAAATGGGCTCAGGCTCCTGCTTCAGGTTCTGAGCTGTGACCTGACCCTGGTTGGGGTCCAGACTGTAGTTAATGATGATTTTTGCATTTCCATCCTGACCCACAATGGGCAGACTGATGGCTGAGATGAGCTGCTGCTGTGGGGGATGGAGAGTTCCAGTGGTTAACCCCGAGTTCACCTGCCCCTGTCCTTTGGCGTTGCTTTCTAGCACTTGGCGGATGACGTTACCATCCACCGCCACTTTCAGAGCATTCTGCAGGTCTGCCAGGTTGATGCTGATAGGCGACACCAGCCCCACAGTGGGCAGGACCACGGCCTGTACTGTGCCCTGAAGAGGAGCAGCAGCACCTCCGTTGAAGATCCCTCCATTCATGGTGGTCACAGCAGGAGATGAGATCAGCGTTGGCTTGTACTCGTAGTCCACAGGTTCGGTCTTGATCTGGTTGAGGGGGAGCTGCTCCTGCAGGGGCTTGCTGTGCTCCAGCTTCTCCCTAATCTGAGTGCGGAGGACTGAAGGGGGCGTGGGCAGCGCCGGTGATGGACCCTGGTTTTGGGCTTTGGTGTTCCCCGAGCGCGGTCTGCCGTTCACTGAGATGACGCTGATGCACTTCTTACTGCTGATGTGGGAGCTGTATGAGCCTGAGTGGGAGAAGCGCTTCTTGCAGTTGGAGCACTCGTAGGGTTTCTCTCCTGAATAAAACCAGAATATGTTTGACAGAGAGAGATAGAGGTAGAGGGGGGAGACACAGATTTCCATTAGTGAATGAAGCTAAATGAACAAGCTCGGCTATGAGCAGGAAAAAGCTTTAATGCATGTCAATGATGCTTAACAATGATGTAATGGCACCATTGGGAAATGGCCTTCTCTAATTGCTGTCCCATAATGCCAAAAGAAACACAATTATGGCACATTAAGGAAGAGCACACAAAGCACTGCTACACAATGAAGGATGTCTCAACACAAAGAGTTGGCTTAAACTGAAATAAAATATAAATATTCAATGGACACTGAGACACTGGTGGCAACAGGGATTATACAGTAGCATACACACACACTCATGCACACATATACGCAGGATGCTACCATGGTGACAGGGGTTGTCCACTCACCGCTGTGGATGCGTAGGTGCTCCTTCAGGTGGTGCTTGTATTTAAATGCTTTGCCACATTCAGTGCACTTGAATTTACGATTGCCTCCCGACTGTGTGATGTGTCTCTGTCAGATGAAGAGAGAGAAAGGGGGAGAGAGGGAGAGAGAGAGAGAGAGAGAGAGAGAGAGAGAGAGAGAGAGAGAGAGAGAGAGAGAGAGAGAGAGACGTCCAGTGAGATACACAATAAAAACACAACCTTTGAACTCCTGCTAATTCATGTCACTGTGTCATTAATCAATCAGGGGCTAAAGCTCATGTTTATTTATCGTGTTTGGAGCTACTAAAGGAACAAGACGTGAGTGTCTGTGTAGGTTTGCATAATTGGAAAATCACTTTCTTAGAGCTTCATTCCAACATCAGTCCAGGTATTTAACTTAAACTGATCACAGGTGACGGAGAAGTGAAGAAAAGAGAGCACAGATCGTGTAGACTGTTACATGTAAATATTACAATATTCATCTTAAAGAGAAGCAGGGAATACTGATATTCGAAATACTGAGTATAAATAATACTGTCTATTAATAAGAGTAAGAATAACTTTAAATTATTTATTGTTTCTTTTTTATTTTAAAGATAAGCATCATCGTATTTTATCTGACTTTTATGTCAGCTTTTTAAATTAATTTTTTTTGCTTCTGATATTGTTTGATTTACTCTGCAAAACTTTTATAGTTGTTTTCTTTTTCTGTTTTTTTTTGTGGCAAAAAACTTTGAACTGCATTATTTGTTTTAAGTTTGCTTAAAAAATACAATTTCATTAAATATTAATTAAAGCAAAGAGAGCTACATTTTAACAGAAACGTGCATAAATTTAGTCTTTTACCTCCTTAAACCTGTTTTAAGTCAATCAATCTTACACAATGTTTGTGCCTATTTTATCCCCTTTATTTAAGTTGATTAAAATTAGCTACAATATTATATTATATATTAACAGTTTTTGTGTTGGTGTAACAGAGATTTAAAGTTTATATATATACTCAATTTAATGTACATATCGAATGATTAAACTGCTGGTGTTGATACATATATAAAAATTGTACAAATACTTAAAACTATATATATATAAATATAATCCTATACACATGTATACATGAGCACAGGTTGATAAGTGTCAATATTTAATGAGTGAGTATACATTGTAGGTTGAGGGGCAGCTGATTTGAATACAGGTCATTATTTAACAAGCATCACATTAGGTATAAAAGTATAGAATACTTATATATAATTTTTTTCAGGTATGAACAGCATAAAAACATTCTGAGCGTTAACATGTGTGATTTAGGTAGGGTAGCGGTCTCAAGGAGTCTTCAGGGGTTATAAGAGTATTTAAAACAGTATCATACTCTCAGGAAAAAACTCTAAAACCATCTACCAGAGTCTGAGTCTGAGTCAGAGTCTGAATCTCACATAAGAAAGTGGGCTCAAGATTTCACTGTTACTTTATCTTAGAACACGAAGAACATTCTTTATCCACTATCAGAGCAGAATATAATTCACTTTAGAGTAGGGCTGCACAACTACATGAATATTAGTCCCAGTCATGATTCAGCTTTCCCACAGATTAAGAAAACAAGGTTGACAGCTGTTATTACATCAAGCACTCCCAAACACAGCTTTCAACCAAACCGCTAACTGCTCACTTGATTGCAGAGCGACCCTCTCTATTATTGATTCCAATTAAGAGCCTTGAGTAACAAGTCCTGATTCGCTTCTCCTGAACATTTTCAAAGCCAATGATTTTGTTTTACACTAACATGAGAAGAAGAACGATGCCTGTCTGTGTCAACTCCACCCCTACATAACCGTCTAGGGCTGAGATGACACATCTGTTTTGATTTATTATCAACCTAGCGAACGACAAGAAGAGTAATTGCCTTTTACTGCTTCAAGCAGGGGTCAATAGCATTAAAGGAGGCCCCAGAAAACACTGGTGGCATCAGTGTGACATCTGCTCATAACCACTGTGAAGTTTTCCCAGCACAGCAGGAACATATTGAGTAAAAAGACAAAACAGACAGCTCTGCTACTGAACAATATAGACCCACTGGTTAGTGATGAGGAAACACTCCAATCATACACGTTATTGTTACAGATAATGACCACTCACGTAAAAAATAACACAGATTTGGGGAGTGTGAGTGCACACAGCTGCAGCACTGACTCAAACACGTATAACTGTTGATAAGGAGTTGAGCTGATTACTGGTTTGACTCAAGTCTGACTGTTTTGTTAGGTATTCAATAGTTAGTTTTTTTTTTTTTTTAGGTGTTTTTTTTGTAACAAGTGAATGTAAAAGCAATACATCAACTTACTGCTGACTTTTCCCCCCTACTCCATATGTTAGATAAAAACCCTAATAAAAGTATTATTGTTCTTATTTAAATGTGAAAGCTTTAACATCAACGGCCTGTTTTAAAGATATCTAATGTCACTTTTTAGGATTTTTAAATGTTTTCTTTGAGATTGTTTTATTATCTTGTTTGAGGCACTCTAATTTTCCTTGTTGCTGAAGTGTGCTGTATATATACTTGCTTCGCCTGAATCAGTGAAATAATTATGTCACAGTTTTGGCCTGAATAAGCATGGTTATCATTTTGGGCTTAGCTGCGCAGCCCTCGCTGAAGGTGGGCCTGGATGTGACCTGATCCTTACCTGATCTCGCGCGCTCTTGTGGACCGTCATATGCCTCTCCAGTTGAGCACGGTATGCAAAGCTGTAGGTGCACTCAGGGCAGTTGAAGCTCTCCTCCGTCCTCTCATGCCGGTACTTTATGTGCTCCTTCAGCGAGCTGTAACGCTTGTAGCCACGTGCGCAGTACGGACAGGTGAGCAGCTGAGAGAAGGAATCAGGAGTTCCTGTTGGGAGATAATGACATGGGTGAGAGTGAGAGTAAGAGGAGGAGGGAGAAGAAAGGGTTAAAAACCTCAGGGTCAATCGAGCTCTTTGATGTTACACAAGGCCAGCCTGAGTAACACTCCTCTGCTTTTTCACCGGGCTGTGAGAGATCCTCCCCCTCAGGTAAACAGCAGCCAGGTAACCAAATGGATGAGAACTGATTAGTGATTCAGAGTAACACCTTCCTGTCGTTTTTAAATAACAACCTTTACTGCCAGAGGAGGGCTGGGTTTTATTTTTGCTATTGTGCTCATTGCTAACACAAAGCGGAGCAATTACACTGGTCTGAAATCCCCTCATTTGATTCCCTATTGTGAGATAGGAACGTTTTAAAAACACCCACGCAGGTAGGGAAAAGTGAGCTCTGTAAACATCCACCTCCTGCTTGAATCCTTGCTGGTTAACAGAGGGTCTCGGCGGTCCGGCTCCCACACAGGTAAAGCATTACTTTGTTAACAGGTGATGTATTAAGTTCCCTGTGGTACAGGTGAGGGCCTGGGGTTGGGAATGCACACACATTATCGCACAGGTAGCTGTGAGTCAGAGCTCGAACAGACGTGACAAATTTACTCAGGTGTTGCTGTTTCTCTTCCTCCCCCCTCCTCCTCCTCCCTTCCTTTTTTCCCCTCTGCTGCCGCAGCAGGTAAAAGCCAAAAGCCCAGGGGCAATAAAGGCCCCAGTGTGCTGCACTTAACAAATAGCAGTGTGTGTAATGATGTCGGAGAGTGGCGTTAATGGGGTGGAGTTAACACCTGAGGTGAGATGGGGAGCAGGTAGAGCCGTCCCGGGGGGTCGGTAATTACTTTGTAGGAGCAGTAATAGTGTGAGAGCTCAGTGGCTGTGAGCTCTCAGGTGGAAATAGAGAGTGTGTGATTTAGGCACCCTGCTTGTGAAGATAATAATGACATTATATTCCTCTTTTTTTGTGTGTGTGAATATGTACCATCATACTGTTGTCCTGTAAGTCTGCAACAGATCACACCCTTAAACTTCTGCATTAACCCTGCACGGGTGTAACATTGGTATCCCTGTGCATGACTTCATGTTGCAATACAACGTTTTGTGAGCGATTACAAACAGCAGGAGCTTCAAAGTCACACACACTCAGACATGTAAACACACCCAGCCTCGCCTGCCCTCGCCGGCTCATAGTGATCCCATTTCACCTCTGTGAAATCTGGTCCCCCCTTTCAAACCTCACTGAACTCCAACCATTTAGTGCTTAAAACTGGCGGTATCAAAAAGGGCCATTGAAACAGACGCTAAACGCAGAAACTTTCAACAATATTTCCAAAAATCCATTAACGTTTTTGTTCTGCAAAATAATAAAATAAAAAATTGCAGCACTTTTTTTTTTTTATATGCTCACACACTGTTATCAAAGCTGTTAAATACTTTTACAGCACTTACACGAAAATATTGACTTTTATGTTTTATCTTATCATAAAAAGGTCGATAAATTCAACAACAGATTGCAACTTCAGCTTACCAAGAAGCTTTTTCAGGTAAACCATGAGCCCTGATGTTGTTCCTCTTATCAAACAGAGGAAGGACTGGGTTGAAAAAGCTACATGACACATTTTTTTTCTGTTGTTACTGTATTTTCCAAGTAAACGGTTTTGTTCAGCAAAAACAAGGGTCCAAAAATTTTTATATTCTTACAAATTGCTGCAGTCCTGGTTGTGTCAGTACATTTACATGCACAGTCAAGCTGAGCTACAGTCTGTCCAAACATACAAACATAAGGTGAGCTTGGACGCTGGATCTGGTTTGATTTGTCTGAAACATACATATTGTAATTAATGCCTGCTTTATTTTACACACTACAGTTTTTTGCTGCTACTCTCCCTGCCTTGGCTTTTCATGTGTATCTGTGAAAGAGATGGGAGGTGTGCTCCTCTCACCTCTGGCTATAGTATTCCTCAAACACATGGGGACTGGCAGAGAGCTCTCATAGCCATACCACCAAATACAACATAAATCCTTTTATTTGACTCAAGAGGCTCTGACTGAAATGTTGTTTTTGTGTAACATAGATGGGCTGCAGGTGCTGTGCATTATCTATTATGTACCGTTTTCATCATGGATGCTGGCGTCAGGGGTGTCCTGGCGTTGAGGCTCATCCTCTGGGGCTTCTGGGTAAATGACGGCTGTGTCTCCTTGCTGGAGCATCTCCTCCACCAGGGCGTCCGTGCTCACATCATCCTCGGGATCTGACACACAATCCTCCTTCACTGTAAGGGGACAAACACAGTCTCATTAGTCAAAAATGTCCCATCGATTACCTGCTGACATATTTTCTATTGATGCAGACTGTACATATGAAACCAGTCTCTGTGCATGAAATCTGATAATCCAATAACGTCAGAGATATGTGTGTATATATATATATATATATATATATGTGTATATACAGTATATTACAGGCCTTGATGGTGATATGTTCGCTGTTATGAAGTCAGAAGGAAAAAAACAACATCCTGAATGCTGCTGCTCACAAAAGGATGAGGAAACTAATGAGCATCAAAAGCCACGGGCTACTGAATGAGCATCAAGATCTTTATTTACAGTGTTAGCTAAGGTACTTGTTAAGACTAGAACTGATAATTAGGTGATGTACCATGTCCTGATGTATTGCAGCGGATTGATACCACACACACACACTCTGCTCTGCTCTCTGGAGGGGCTTGGCCTTCAGACTGTGCTTAATATCCCAGCAAATCAGAGCCTGCATGCGGGAGCCGAGCGCACTCTTCCTCTTCATCACATGAGCCGGCTAGTCGGCTAACGAGCGCTAATTACCGTGCTGAGGATTATAGGAAGTGTAACCTGAGGATGGAGTTTAGGATGCACTAAAGCTTCCTTCCCTCTTTCCGTCCCTGCTCGCTCAGAGCTTCCTGAAGTGGATACCGGAACCAAAGATAGTGTGTCTGCGATTTAACCGAGCTGTTTTCCTCTGTGGAGATGTTAGTGCGCCTGTGTGAATCATCACAGAGAATAATTACAAGGCTCAAAGTAAAGTTAGGCTACTGTGGAAAATGCGGTGGTGTTTACTGGGCAGATGTTCCTCAGATTGATTTAAACTCCCGCCTGCTTAGTGGAGATTTGCGGATTGTGTTTTGTGGATTGTGTGTGTGCGTGAGTGTGTTGAGAGACGGGACCAGCTGTGCTCTCCTCAGAGAGGGGAACAGGTGTAACACTTCATGACTCACCGATGTACACTGAATACCAGTACTCTTACACACAGGCCGGTTCGGGCTTCCTCTGGTGCACCCTAACAAAGTTGTGAAACAGTATGAGCAGTCATTTGTTGCTATGGCTATCACTGACGTTTTTTTTTAATTCCTAAAAACCTCCCCCACTTTCTCAGAGGGAGAAAGTGACGGCAGTGTGATGGAGAACATGTGTGTGAAGCAGAAGCCAGCAGCAGGTGATGAGAAAGTTAAATTAGAGAGTTCCCATCATGCAGTGGATGGTCAGGATCACATCAGGGACTTCTATACACATTTATTATAGTTATAAACTTTTAGGTTTTGTTAATTTTGGCTTTTTAATTTTGATTTTAGTTGTTTTTATTTTGTTTTAAGGCTGGATTTTGAGTTAATTTATTTTCTGAAAAAAAAAAAGTTTATTTTATTTTTTATTTATGTATTTATTTTATTTTACAATGCAGGCATTGTTGCATCTAATTAAAGAGAAACCGATGCCATGTATACATGACTTTTAGCTATGGCTAATTTGAGGTCCTTGCCCCTGTCAGAGGAAAAACACCCCAAAACATTTAACATTGTGTAAAAAAAAAATCCCCTTTTTGGCTGTTTGCCTTGTCGTACTGATGTTCAAATTAATCGTATGGCTGATACAACAACACAGATGCAATAATAAATGCTATTTATTGGTGTGTGGGCTCATTTACTTCAACAGAGGATTTTTTTAAAAAAGGAATCAGAATGACAGTGTCTTTGATAGTATGTTAGTTAAAACAAGTTAATATCTGAAGAGCAGCGGCTGCTAAAAGTCATTAAAAGTCATCAGGTGAGCAAAGCGTTTCCTTATCTCTAGTCTGGTCAGTCAGTCAAAGTTTAATTTGCTATCCTAAAAAGAACTAACACCAAGCAGCTTCCCATGTTTGCAACTTCTACATGAATCTAATTTAAAAGCCAACTGTGTCTTTCATTTGATTGATAAATATGAGAAATTTGGAAGAACAAATCAGTGTCTTTCCTCACTTGTCACGCCGTTAAAATTATCGCCACATTCTGTCACAGTCTGTTGGCTGTTTACAAAGCATCACAAACATGTTGCATGTGATTAAGTGCTGATCTGACACGTCTATTTCCCGTCTCCTGCTCAGAGACTGCATCCACGCACTCCAACACACCTTTAGGCCACTAAATGTTGAGCATGTGTGTGAAGTGGAGTCCCAGTTGGAGGGCTCTGTAGTGCAAAAGTATGACAAGCTGTTGTTTTCTCTCCTCATGTGTGTGTGTGGATGTGTGTCTGTCTGTCTCTCTCAGCTCTTTGTTAAGTACAGAGGCCAGAAGGGTTCTCTCTCTCCCCCTCTCTCTCTCCCCCCTCTCTCCCTCTTTTAGAGGCGGTCCAGGTTATCAGGCTGCTCCCCTGACATGAAACATCACACAGACCATTTATGTGCTGACGCAGGCATGTGAATGCACCACTGCACAAGAGGAAAATCGGTTCAAAGCCCCCACAATGAAGGCCCCGAGGGTCTGCGCAGGACATTCTGTAGCACTTTGGGTCTAAAAACACAGTTTTAATCTTAACTTGTCTGACGGTGTTACCCAACTGGAGTGAATCTTTGAAGGAAAATCATCAGACCACCCACTCTCTCTCTTCTTCCCTTTCTCTCATTCCTTTCTTATCCTTTCCAAATCCCTGCCATATTATTATCACTATATCCCATGTTGCATTTCCTGTCCTGGCTGACCTTCGCCCCCCTCTTCTTCCTGTAGTCGTGCATCAGGACCCGTTTGCAGATCCCATCTTGGACTGGAGACACATATCAGCGACAAGGGTTTGCACAAACAGCTCTGATATTCCCCAATCCTTCCTAAAGATGTTTCACCTTATCTCCCATCAACAGGAGGTGAGTCGATAAAACATGTGAGGTATTTCCAAATCTAGGAAGGGTTGCTTATCCTTCACTATCAACAGTTTGTTCTGTGTGTCTCTGCAGGACAATCACCCCAGCTCCCTGGGGATTCCTTCTTTCCTGTGCAGGAGGGAGGCTCAGCCTCAGCCTCACATCATGACATATGACGGCATGCAGGAATGTAGGTGTTCCTGCTGCACCAATGATCCAAATGGATTTGAGAGCAATTCTGAGGAACACTGAATATCATCAGTGCATGTAAGGCCAGCAGTGAGGACTAAGTGTCATCGTGTGGGAGAGGTTGGAATACTGCAGCACGACACAAGTGCCATTAAACACACTCAACTAACACCCAGCCCATCTTCTAGGCTGTATTTCCATGCAGTTAAACCCAGCCTTTTCACTCTCATTAAGTGCAGCCTCACCATATCAAAGCTCTCCAGCCCAACCCTGCCTTTTCTGTGAGATGTAATCAAGCTTTACAACTCATCAAATATAAAGGAGACGCCCTCTCAGGTCAACACTCACTCTACCTTTTCCTCCCTCAGAGTCGAGGAGTTCAGCCTGCAACACGGGCTTGTTCTACCACTACATAATCATTTAGGAGTGAATGAGCAATGACAGCAAGCAGGGGGCCCATGATGCCGTATAATCAAGAGGAATGATTCACAACAAGAGGAGCAGTGAGAGGGAAGAGGAGCGTAAAAAAGAGAAAGGAGGGGAGAAAGAGAGAGGAGAGATGGCAAAGAGCTAAAAAACCACCTTCCACTTTTGGAGCACAGCAGTCCCACGAGAAGGGGTGTCAAGGTTTTAATTTGAAGCAAACTGGGCTGCGCTGAGGAGAAGATTAGTGGGTGGTGGTCACTTTTCAAGGCTGCGCCAGAGACTTTTGTGTTCTCAGGAGCGAAACCAACAGAGAGAGGGATGAGAGACGAGAGAGGAGTGTTTGTTTAAAGGACTGTGGCTTTCTCCGTGTTTCATCAGTGCGATGCAGAGTGACAGCAGAGTGTGTGTGATGTATGAGATGAGGGATGGAGACAGTGAGAAAGCAAGAAACAGAGAGCTGTGTAGGTGTATATGTATGTGTGTGTGCGCACATGACTGAGAGCAAAAGAAAATATGCCTGATCAGGCATAACCGTGGAGCGCAGCCAGGGCGCTGAGCTGTTTCAGTGTAACTCATGCTTTGAAGTGTTTAATGTTCATGAGCTGCAGCCAAAACCAATGGCATTATTCGTCCTCCAACTTTACTTTATACTTTGAGGTACAGCTGGAGAGCAGTGATGAAAATGACGGCGTGGTTTGGGGAATAGGTGGCTACAGCGTGCACAGGTCTGAGGTCTGAGTGCGTGTGCAACCGAAACCTCGCAACTGAAACTAACTGAGGTCAACTCATCGGAGAGGAATTTCCAAAAAGCCCTCCCTAAACTGTAAGCGATAGGTTGCGGGACATTTTTTGCATGTTCTAATTTGACCTCTTGCTAAATCGGAGCCCCCCTCAGCCTCACACATCTCAAAGTTGTGAAAGATCCAGCCAAGACCTGCAAGAGAAAACACCCTAAATATTCTTGTGGCTGAGTATCTCTCTACATAAGGGCCTGTAACAGCGTTTTAGTACATAGTGTACTTGGCACAGACCTGAAACTAGCACTTCTACAAAAGCACACACGTATACACACACAAATGTATACACATGCAGTGTGAGGTTAAAAGAGCAGCAAAGAGGCCTTGAGTCCAGGTTGAAACACCGACATCCTTCAGCACCTGCAATTGTTGTTTTCGATGGAGAGCGAGGGGGGTGATGTCAGCCTTTCCTGTGGCGGTGGGCTGCCTCTGATGTCACTTCCACACAGTTTGAGGTAAAAAGGAGTTCACAGAGGCCCCTGAAATGCCCACCAGTGCCATAAAAGCGCTCTGTAGCTCTTTGGTTGTGGGTCTATTTTTTGTGTTCGAAGGTCTCTCCCTCTGTTGGCATTGTCTTTGCTTCATATCGCTCTTCCTGCCTTAGTCAGAGACCCACCACGTGTAGTACCTGTTTCCTTACTCTCTGTGTTTCACAATGAGACAAAAGCTTGGTACTTAACCGTGCACAGATGTCACTGAGACATTTCTTAACTTAGCCTAAATCACGTCAGCTGGGTCAAAATGAAACAGCAACAGTAAGACGCCGCAAGAAAGATTTGCATTTATGTGCTGCAGGCGTTTGTAAGTAATGCTCTTATCCTACGCAGACAGAAAGACAATAAAAGATACTTTGCTGAAGATGCTGGGACTGACAAAGAAATGAGACACTTGCTATGAAATTTACATCTTCAGAACTTTTGATACTTAATATAAAATTATACAAAAAAAATTCCAGTGCAATTTGAATGATCTGGTAGCATCAAAGCCTTTCTTTCTTTGCCTCGCCTCAATAAACTGGCACTTGTCTAAGAGAAAAATCTGGCAAGTAGTGAATCAAGTGCTGTTATCCCCACTGGCATAATTTTCACATTCTAGGAAAATAAGATTTAAGGCAGAAGTGGGGTAAAAATATCTGGGGTAGGCAACTTTGGATAAACCTGCAGCAGTAAACTAGATTATTTAAGTATCAAACCATGAATACTGAGTAGCTTCGGCTGTTTTTCCTGCTTTGGTGTGTGGGTGTGATTGAGGGTGAGGCGGGGGTGTTTCCAAGACGCTACCTAACTGCTGAAACCCTCTGAGGTGTCATGAACCTAACATGATGAAAAAACAGTGAGGGGAGGTGCCCACTAGATAACCTCAGTGATGAACTGGCTCTTGCTGGTTATCTGTCCACATCTATCTTCATGCTTGGCTGTTGGAAGACATTAGGGGCCATGTGGTAATTTACCGGCAGAGTGCTTACCACTCAGTAAGCTCACAGTAAGTTACAACTGGCTGTCTAGCTGTGTTCAGGGAGATTCTAAGGCAGAGGAGAGTACACATCTCCTGTTTCATATGCATATATGAAAAGGCAGAGCAGCGGCAAAGACACCCTGGGCACAAACCGGATCAAATACAAGCGGCACTGGTCGAATCCAACACAGCATTAAATGAAGGAGCTGGGGTGGAGGCAGGTTGCACAGTTTGCAGGAAGAGGAGACAGGCCTGTTGGTGTTGGAGAAGAAGGGCCTGTGTCCACAGATGGCATATTTTTGGCCAAATCTTATTTAATGAAGCTCCTCTCGTCAGTGCTTAGTGGTACTTCAAAGTTGTCACCCAGAACTGTCATTTTCCTAAGTAATGACTCAGTTTTGAAACACAGTTTAGGCTTCGAATTTGCAGTCATTCAATGGTAGTTTGCATAATAGAACACAGACAAATAACATAAATAAATAAAATAAAAATATGATTTGTATGAGGAAATAAGCAGAGGTTGTCTACCTGTAAGTTTTACCCTTTCAGAACAAGTATGCCTAGTTTCTCCTTTATCCAAACCTCTGTCACTATTCTTGACAAAGTTGTTATCATAAGTCCCACCCCTTCCTAATATTTATTGGTTCATGATGAAGTATTGAAACTGATTTAAACTAAAAGCATGTTAAGTGCAGCAACAAATTACAACATGAGTTCATTATTTTTGGGAAGACACTGAGAACTGCTTTAGTTTTGTGTGAGAAAATAGGCTCAAACTAAGTAAAATAAGCTGTTAGTGGACACAGGCCCTTACAGTGCACTAAGGAAAGAGCCTTTTGAACATTTTCTGATGCAAGTATTTAAAACAATGATATATAAATATGACTGTTTGAAGATACAGGATAGGATTCATTGTCAGAACATACTAGAAATATATTCTACTGAAGTATATAAATAAGGCGTCAGTGGACACAGGCCCTTGCAGTACACTGAGGAAAGAGATGTTGTCTAACATTTACCTCAAGTATTCAAAACAAGTGATTTATAAATAGGACTGAAGAGGGCAGGACAGGATCCTTTGTCAGTAAACTCTATTTTTGGATTTACAGGACCAGATCAGCAACGAATTAACAGGTACACAGGGGGCGCCAAAGTCCTCACATACCACCAATTCTTCAGGAGCTTTAAATTGCCTTCTGTACTGATTGTTTCCATATGGAAAATAGTCAGACATGACTCACAGCAGGGTGTAGAAATGTTGGTTCTAAATAAAGGATGAGGTGTTTTGTATGATTCAGTGTGAATGTATGTTATTTTCATTAATGTTCACCTCTATCCCAGCAGTGCTCCCTGGGGTGCTCCTCATCTGGCAGGGTGCTGTCGCAGTCAGCCCCGTCCGCCAGGCTGCCTTCCTCCTCCACGATGTGCAGCTTGTCCTCATCATCGGACTCTGAGCCGGCCTCCACCACATTGTTGTAGTTCGTCACTGCAGAGGGAGACAGAAGAGTCAGAGGTTAGAACGGCTCTGTCTCTTTTTTTTATTAGTCTTTAAAGGAGAGCGAACAGGTTACACACACTTCATATTTATACCCTTGGTAATACCAAGTGTTTTTCATGTATGTGCTCCTTAATTAAGAGCAGTGAATGTGAAAGGCCATGAGTCAAAGGGGTTAAATATGTGTACAATGTCATTTAAATGTCAAAACTATTAAAGAGGAGGGTCAAAGAAGAAGAGAGTAAAGAGCTGCTCGCACCAATTAAACAGACGACAGCGGTACTTTTATAGATTATAGTGAGCAGAAGTCTTCAGGGACAAGCTGGGAAAAATCATCCATTTATTATGTGAGATTGAAATTGTTTTCTCTCCTGTTATTATGATTAAAGAGCAGGTAAAAAGCTGTTTTTTTTCCAGACTATTTGTTTTACTCCAACTCAAATTCAAAGAGAAAAGTTTTTTTTTAATGTTTCTCTAAAGCCCACAATCAAAAGATTTTAAAAGTTTTAACAGATGTTGAAAATGAGAGAGAACTCACACATGATGACAGATAATGACAGATTGAATGGTTTTGTTATTGCATTGTGTGCTGCAAAGATGTGATCGACAGTCACCAACAATCAGTCTACACTCCCCAAACTGGAAACCTCACAAAATCTCTCCTGTTAAAGTGTGACTTTGAAATAAACAGTGGGAACAACATGGTAGTAGTTGTCAAGCTAAATGTTGCTGCTTGGTTACCTGGTTCATGCGCCAAATCAAAGTAGGAAGTAAGGAAAGTAGGAAAAACCAGAGGAGCAACTTATGATGATTCATGATATCAGCATCTAAAGCTCTTATATCTGCAAAACTTTCCAGGTTTCACACTGGAATTTTAACTGTTTTTAATTTGTGGGTGTGGCCAAATGCCCCATTGAGACTGAGACTTCCCCTCCAGGCACCAGTGTACAAGTAAGTGAAGGACTTCAAAACACTACTTCCTGTTTGATATTAATACTATGATATTGATACTGATACTAATACTTTGCTGCCGTGGCAACAGTGTTTGGCGTAGTCTTATGTGCTCTTCGAGGAAGATCTTAAGATCCACCAGTGTGCAGTCAAATGGACATGGTAACTTCTGAATAATTTCAGGGGGCACTATCGAACTGAATTTTCAGGATTTTTTCATGAGACCACCAAAATATGTAAATTGTATGCATGCCTGATGTGTGTGCAAAAGAAGGTGAGTATTCAGGCATGTTTCGGTATGCTTGGACCCTAAAAAATCAGGGAAAATCTGAGTCCATAGTGAAAGCAAAAAGGTGAACAACAGGCTGTGAGTTACAGAGAAACAGAGAAAAATCACACATGCAGTACCAGTGTGTGAGATCATTAGTGTGCAGGCTGGAGTGGTGTGTGTGTGTGTGCAGGCTGAAGTGTGTGTGTGTGTGTGGGAGTTGGTGTGACCTGGTCGGTGGTGTTATGGGCTAAAGGAGCCAGGAGACACAAAGACAGCCAGCCTACAGAGAGGGTTATTACAGGGAGTAAATTTTCCTGACTGACTGTCTGCTTCATGTGTGTGTGCGAGTGTTTGTGTGTGTTTCTGAGTCCTCTCTTCATTTCCACCCTGTTTCTCCATCTCTCAATTCCACCTGTGTAACTTCCACCCACTCTCTCCCCCCTCCTTCAACCCTCTGTTCCACTGAGAGAGCTACAGATCCTCTCGGAGGCCAAATCAATTCTCCTGTGAGAGCAGCGCAGTCAGCAGAGGGTCCGGGCTGCAGCGCTGAAAACTACCTCTCCAGCTACTTTATCCCACATCACACACACACACACACACACACACACACACACACACACACACACACACACACACACACACACACACACACACACACACACACCACCTGCATTCACTCTCTGAATATGCACTGCCAGTACAAAGCACCTGAGCTTTTCTTTCTCTTTTTCTTCCCTCACCCTCGCCCCACTCGCCCACCTCTTTCTGAAGTGGCTGCTCGGGAGGCGTTTCTGTGAGAATCATGATCCTCCGTTACAATCAATGAGAATTGTTTCTCTCTTTCTCTCTTCATCGCGCGGGTCATTACAACCGCTCGCTTTTCACACGTAAACTTGGTGGACGTGCAGCAGGGTTCAGGCTGAGGGGGAGGCAGGGGGGACGGAGGCGTGGGGGCGGAGGAGGAGGAGGAGGTTGAAGCACTGTTATTTGGTGAGTCGTTCGCAGGGTCAACACCGCTGTGCCGCAGCTGCACATCCTACCAGGGATCATCAGGAGATCTAATCCATTCTCAAACTCATTCCTCTCTTCACACTCATTCTCACTTCATAAAACCCTCTATTTTCTTTAACGTGACATGGGCGCTACATGTTGCTGTTTTCAGGAGTGGCAGACACCTTTAATATTCATAAAACAGACATTGATGATTTACAGATCATTGTTTAAGCTAACCATGTCATGGGCACTCTTGCTGTCCCCACACACCAAACCCAAGTCAAATTTGTTTGCGCGATTGAATTACATGTTAAGTCATACTACTCGGTGGCGTGAATGATGCGAATTGGGCAGGAGCTGAAAATGTCTCAACTTGAGTGGATAACTAATCAGCACGAAAGTTGCCAAGAGACGTATGAAAATGGACAGCTATTCACTGGTATCTACAATGGAGGACATACTGATCGTGTCGGTGTGTGGGTGTTCCGAATTATATGATACATCTTTCAATTACTGAAACCGTAAAAAAAAGGAGCTCATCTGGACGAAAGTGGGTAAGGAGGTCAGGTTACCTGGTAAATTGTAAAAAAACCTTTGTCTATCACTTGAATTTGCAGGGATTACCGTTGCCGCGCGAATGAAGCGAGTAAATACTATTCATTCACGCGTCTAGATTTTCGTGAATTAAGCGAGCAGATGATTTTATTCGCGCTTGGTGTGAGCGCCCTATTAGAGTAGAGGTCCATGATTTCCAAAAAGAACGTCATATTTTCAATGTAGTTTCCCTACTTCACTTCAGTCCAACAGTATTTTGGGGCTGTTTATATGTAGTGTTAATTTTTCTGTTCACACTCCTTTGTTTAAGGTAAATGGATTTGGACTCATGCAGTGATTTTCACTGCAGAGTCATATCAGTTTTTTTTTTTTTTTTTAATGAATTGCAGCCTGACAGTCTGAGAATCACATACATCCAATATCACCTATTGGCCTTGATGTGTGATGTTTGAATGACATTTTCAAGACCAAAACTTCCAGTTTCAGTAGTTTGATTATCTTTACTCTTGGCAATTAGACACAAACTTTAAATCAAAATCTGTCTTTTTTTTTTTTTTTACAGAATCCCAACTATTATAGAATTGTGGTTCTACTGTTCAACAGAGAACAGGTCATTTGCAGAGCTGGGAGCTACAAACCTGCTAATGAAGTGATTTTCTAGAGGACTGTGAGACTGTGTAAACCAGTGTGTCCTTGTTCCTCCTCTTTCTCTAACCCTGAATCTTTTTTCTGTCACAGCAACTCTGCCAGGTGATGTATTGTCCGTTCAGGGGGGCCCAAACAGGGTGCAACACTTCATCCTGAAACAGAGGGTGCTTTAGGATGAGTTTTAGAGGCTGTTTGGGGCCACAGCCACTCAGGTGTGGAGCTGAGGTCAGCGATTACAAAGGCAACAGTCTCTGCCAGCAGTGTCAAGAGAAAATGATCAAATATAAAGCTGTAGAGAGAAAAATCAATGCTCTGGTGTGCGCAGACGGGAGGTGGCAACCGTCAGCAGGACAATAAAAGTTGGAACTGCGAAGTGGAGCAAAGGTTGGAGAGAAAGAAAGAGAGTAAAGGAGCAGTGGTGGTGTTGGGTGGTGCGGGGGGAGGTGAACAAAGATTGGTCTCCCAGTGCCAAATGGTTGGCGGTGTTGAGACAAAACTGTGTGTTCCAACAGGAGATGTAACACCTAGCGTCAACAAAGGCTGTGGTCCCTTCTGGCTGACCGGCTGAGCGTTTGGACAGCTGGCCTCATTAGCGCTAGCATGCTAGCACACAACAGGAGGAAGACTCCTACGCAGCTGAGAGAAGGAGCACTGGTAGGTGGAGGAGGTGAAAAGCTTCACTTTTGAAAGTTTGCTCTCCTCGATAGGTTGGAGAGAGTCGAACACCTGAGAAAATAACAGCCTGTAAGCATGGCTGTGGTTTAAGGTTCATCTGTAACCCCCCTGGCCATAGATCACACCTTTAGTACCCCGTCCCACACTGAAACTCTCAGGGGATCTGGGTGATAGGACACAATCAATGCAAGCTAGAAAACCTTAACATAAAAAACTTTTATTATCGCACTCGACAGCACAGATAGAAAACCACCAGCAGATTTGCTAGTGTGAAATAAAAACCTCAGCACTTAACTGACCCTGTTGTCTTTGAGACAACAAAAGAGATAGTTATGGCGACAGAGGTTGCTGCTCATGCAACTAGGAGAGCACCACCTCTTGTTTATGCACCTAACACAGAATTGACACCATCCCTCTGGGGATCAGTAAAGTTGACACAAACTTAAAAAACGGAGGTTGACACTTTTCAGGCTTGAGGTCACCTTAGCTTCACAGGCAGGAGGAGTGAGCAAGGGAGCACTTCAGTCGCGAATATGAAAATTTGTTGCGTCTACATGTTCTAATTTTTACTCACTGTACCTTTAACTTTTGGCTATATTTACCTTTAATCATCTCTAGAACTTAGAGATGAGAGGCATTTAGAATGACCTCACAATAATTGTTGTTATATTGCACACACAGTAAGACTTTGTTGTAGAGTTTAAAGGTCTCACACTTCATCTACACATCAATGAAACCTACTAAATGTATGTTTTGTAGCTGGTATCAGATTAAGGTTCCATTACCAAGTGGTACATTATTTTATGACTGAAATAAAAGCTCCACCCACACCATCACTCTCTTTCCTGTTTGTAAATTTCTCTACGTCCACTGAAAGACAATGAAGACAGAGTGTTTCAGACACTCTTAAATATCCCTGAGAGAGAGACACAGAGAGAGAGAGAGAGAGAGAGAGAGAGAGAGAGAGAGAGAGAGAGAAGAGGGGGCTGTGTTGTTATGACACCTGCCAGGCTGTATCAATTACCAGCAGAGGGTTACTCTGAAAACAAGCCCAGTGCTCGCTAACACATTGAAGGGGATCACCTGAGCAGACTTGTCATCAATGATCTGACAGCACAGAGGCTGAAATGCTCTTTGACACAGTTTTAACTGCAGAGAGATTCTGCTTAAGCTGGCACTTATTTCAGACTCACTGTATCGATCCTAAACTTAGGTATGTGATGGATGTGACACTTTTCTAGATCTTAAAATCACTGTAGAGCCCAACATATGGAGGCTTTTGACACCGAAACCAGTATTGATTTTAGAGCAGAAACTGACAGAGGAGCCAAACTTCATGATTTTTTTTGAGTAAATATGACAGGCTGAAAGTCCTCAGATGACTCTGATTTAAACGACAGACTTTTATGGACAGAAATATTTACTGCTGTATGACAACTATTGTGTTGAGTGGTGTTTACTTAGCTGGGATGCTGTTTCACATCGAACAGGTCTGTCTTCACTGCTAATTTTCAGAGTCATGACTCAGACACTGACTCAAAAGGTATCTCTTATTTAAGATTGGAGTAAAAACACAACAACAGTAAAACACAATCCAAATAATAGCAAAAGTTAAAGGTTGAAGGTGCCAAGGCAAGTTCTTGAAGTTTTAGCGAGCACGTTTTGGGACTAGGGACAAGCTCTTTCTCTCCAAACTGATAAGAAAAGAGGATGAAGAACAAAAATAGACAAAAAAAGTATGTAAAATGTATAACAGTATTTTTGCGGAGTTAAGAGGAAATGCCACCTGCATGATACACAAGACAAGAGTGTCTTAAACCACAAGTGCCATTACTGCACTAAGAAATGCAGAATACTACAATAAACATCAAAATATATGTCCTAGGAGTTAAAAAGAAATCACTGAAAATGTATAAAAACTGTAGTTTGCATCTTTTGTTTAAAGATCCTGTGAGAAACTTTTGGTTTGTGTCTATTTATGAAAAAAGGGAGGTTAATGACTCTTCAGTGACTCCAGTGACACCTACCCCGTTACATCAGCTTCAAGTGTTAGAAATTACAGAGTAAAAATGGTCAGTCTGATGGTTTTTGTACTTTAGTGTAACAAATTAAGGCATCAATATGAATTGTAGTCAGTTTCAATGATATCAAAAAACTTCTCTCAAGAACTTTAAGCCTTAGAATACAAGCCCCAAACCAGTCTGAGTTTGACACAAATCTTCAGGTAATGAAAACCAAACCCAAACCCAAACTCAAACCTGGGTAACAGAGACTGACTCAGACTGGACTCAGACTTTCCACACTATTTTGGCTCATGGTTTGATGAGTCGACAACAACAGCTGAAGGTATGATGAAATTGAGTCAAAGCCTGCTCTGGCACACAAACCATGTGATAGGATTGAACTACCTCAAGTATTTTTTAGTGTCATCAATTATGTCAAAGCATTTGCAGAATTATCAAAACCTGAGATGGGCGTTTAACAGACTGATAGTATCAGCCGACAAACTGGCCAGTTAAGCTCTACAGTAGAGGTCTGCTTGTGCACCAGCAGATGGCTTCCACTCACAGAGGAGTGCCTGATAGGAATGGCGGTATCTCAGCCTCTGTGGGAGTAAGTTATCTGTCTCTTTGAGGCCCTCAAGGTGTGACTGACTGGTTTAATAGCTGAGCTTTCGATGAGAACAACAGAGATCAACACACGGAGACTGTGCACAAACATCTTACCTCCAGAGGTGGGCTTTTATCATGATTCATTACCCATAAGGACATCTGTAAGGAACCTAAAACCTATACGTCTTATGTGCTGGCCCACGGCTCCATACCAGAAGGTGTTGGAGGTATGTGAGGAATGTCCAACCAAAACACTTTCCCCGAGTTTGACTCTTAAAGAGACAGATCAAAGGCTGAGCTCTCTCTTACTCTGTCTCGTCTGAAACAAATGAGTGACACATATTCTGAGGTCTGCTGTTGTTCTGCTTGTGATCAGACACATTGACTCATCCACGGCAGCAGAAACTATTTGTCTGCCCTTCTGCCTCTCTCCTGTCTCTATATTTAGCCCCTGGTTCAGGCTCCCCCATTGAGGTACGCCACTTATCTGAGCTCAGGGCCAGGCAGGCGGCGGAGGAACTACCACAGGCATCCTCAAAGAGTACAGACTCTGCCGTCACACAGTCTGCCCTTGTGGCTCTGCGATGCCATTTTCTCAGGGAAGCCAACCACTACAAAAAAACCCAGCTCCAACCAAAGTAAAACAAAGCCATGCCATTCAAAACCTCAAGTATGTCGTCTCAAGGTAAGGCGCCTCAATCCGCACGGAGGTAAACGTCGCTGATTTTGTTAAAACAACAGCCTTCCTCCCACAGAGCCAGGAAGGTCACTTGAGTAGCGATAACCAAACAAAAGAAATGGGGATTTTTCATGTTACGCTTGTTCACAGGCTGCTTCAGACTTCTTAGACCATTTCACACAAGCGAAGGCAGTTAAAAGATAAAACTGTGGACACGTAACAGTGGGGACTTCATAAAATGAGTCAGAGTAAGATCCTTCTTGTCCATTATTACTCAGATAAAATTTAAAGTTGTTTCAATGGATTGATAGAAAAAAAATAGATTTTAATTCAAACTACTTTCAAAATCAATTTATATAAAGCTTCTGTGAGGAGCTTCAAATCTGTGTTGATCCTGGTGCCCCCTGTGTTAGACCTTTAAAATAAACGCACAGAAGTGTTGCATCTTTATATAGATAATGAGATATAAGATAACACAACAGACATTTTTGAACTAGCTGCCACAGAAGTCCAGGTTTGCAGAAACCAAAATATACACAATGGCAGCAGGAACAAGAAATGATAGAATAACAATGGCAGATAAGTTACTGCAAGCACAGACAACTTGTTTTAAAGTGTTGATCTGGAGTAAAACAAATGTTCAATCTTTATTTGCACAGGCTGCAAAGCATGGCCAGTTCAGTAAAAGGACTGCCAAGTAAACACAAGGCTGACACTGAATCTGTACCCAACATGTGTAACTTCTGAACAAAGAAAAAGAAAAGAAGTTATGCAAAGTCAGGTCTTGGCCTTGGCTTTACCTCCACTAACTACTTAAGGTGAACCAATCATGTGATCACTGATTAAACTGTGTATACAACAGTCTGAAAGAGAGCTTAATGTCAGTCAAAATATGTTGTTTTTTTGTGAAGTTATTTTTTAGTCTTATGTATTGTATGTCTTTGGACCTCCTTGTGCAGGGACCACAGATGTGAATTAGCTTTAGGGCTGCAATAATTAGTCGATATGTTGACAAAAATCGATAATGAAAAAAGTCGACAATGAATTTCATTGTTGACTATTGTCGCCAGACGTGTTTTTTCCAGTGGAGTGATGCATCTTAATTTATTACAATCTCTGGCTAAAGTCACACATGCGCAATAGCGTTTCCGCTGAGCGGTAGGGTATTCAAGCATGGAGGTGCTGGTATCTCATACAGCAGCTTTGAGTACATACTTAGAAACCTCCAAAGTTTGGACGCACTTTTGGCCTAGATAAGGCAAAAAAAAAAAAATAAATAAACTTGCAAGGTTTGTGTGCGAATTTTGGTTGTGATGCATGAAAATTTGAGGAGAAGGCACGTAATTATCCGATTAGTAGACTAATCGTTTCAATTAGTCGGTGACTAATTGACTACTAAAGTAGCCGTTAGTTGCAGCCCTGCTTAGCTTTATAGCTAACACTGGCTCAGCAGCTTGTGCCGTGCATGCTCTCTATCCAATAAATTAATAATCTTAAGTCAACTAAACTTAAAATCATTGCATTTTTACCTTTAATTGCACAGTTGGATTTGCAGTGTAATGGGAAACTGTGCAAAAAATGTTCCAAATGATAACGCTGATAATGCATTTTAGTGTACAAGGCCACTGGACATAAATAGATATGAAGGATATAGTGAAGGATGTTTGTCTTCAAACACAGTGAAATAAAAGTAAAATATACTAAAGTTAAGAACAGGTACTCAAAAATATGCCTTAGTAAATTAACTTTAATGCTGTCCACCTCTGCTGAGGACACATGTCAGTATCTCCTCCCACAGTCAGTTAGCTGGAGAGAGCACTAGGGGTCCCAAGAGACTGTTCCCTAACAAGTTCATACTTGTCCGGGACCTGATGCCAAGTGTCTTCACCACAAGTGCCTGCCAGCCATACCAGAGAGAGCCAGTCACATTGCGGACCAGTCATATCCTGGACAGCATCTCCATAGATACACAGCAAAACAATCTGTAAAAAGTCCCCAAACAACATCAAGTGTCTGTTACTCACTGCTGTAAGTAAGTCTATGAGGGCGAAAAAAGCAGAAGTACACATAGGGAGTAAAAAAAGAGCCAGCCGTTCTGAGGATTAGTCACTTTTGATGCTCTTCTGATCCAAATACAGGAGATGCTTAATGTTCAATTGATTGATTCAGGAAGCAGATTAAACACAACAAATAATACCCGGCTTACACCCAGTATCATTTAGGATTACTCCATCAAAGTGAAATCTACGACAACCTGTGGAGCAGACCTCTGCACAGGAATCATTTCAGAGGTGAGCTGGAAGACAATGGGCTCTTGACTTTCTAATGATGCCGATCAAGGTTTTAACACGTGAGCTAATGGGCCTCTGCAGGTCACTCATCTCCCATCAGATGAGCACTTTCCATGATAACACTAATGCTAATGGAGGCTATTGTTCTCTTAATCTGCATGATGACACTCTGAAGTGTAAAGGAAGTCAGGGGGTGTTAATGAGGAAAAGAAAGAAAGAAAGATTTGTGCCTCAGAGAGCGTGGAATGCTGTTCAAAAAAGGAAAATGACTAATCCTTGCCTATTATGTGCTTTGCTTGCCACGTGCTTTTATTACTCAGGGTTAGTCCTAATAGTGCTGTTGTACCTAAACGACACCAGGATAATAGACTCTGTTTCCACTCAGGGGAAGTCACAGGCTTTCCTGGCTATGAACCACAGCATGGACAATATTATCTCTCTGCAGGGCTAATGAGCACCATGATGAGCCACACATTCTGTTTGACTGGGCATCCTCAGAGAGTCCCTGCTTCTGGCTCCTCTCAGCTCTTCTAAATAAGGCCAGGTGGGCCGGTGAGGAGTGAGGGTGTGATCACACCACACACACACGCACACGTCCACAGCTATTCCCAGGCCACCAAGTTTACACTTGTCTCATAACCTATGTTTATGTTGGAGGTGAGGCAGCCCCATCCAAGGTAATAACATCGGTGTACCTAAGTGAGAGTGAAGAGTGTGTGTGTGAGTGTGTGTGAGCGTGTTTTGTATGTTAAGCTGTTAAATGGCATGCTTGGTATGTGGAGAGCTTTCAGTCATTATGCAGGATCACATGATCTCAGCTGGATATCTATAACAAAAGGCTGTAATAAACGATTAAACAATTAACACTGAGGCTGTACCTGGATTATGAGTTTGAGAGTTGAATCCGATTATTAGTAACATTTTTCAGCTCAGCGCCAATACAGACTCCTGCACAGCTCTTTCACACATGTATGCACCCAATGAAATTTGTAGAAAATTTCAGAACAGCCTTCTCTGAAAGTTTGCACAGATGCTTATTCACACATGTTCCTTACTGCTTAAGCTAACAGTGTTTGTAAAGTATAAACAGATGGGTGAGAAAGAACAATGCTTGTGAATTTTATATGCACAGAAATTACACTAGGTGCTTAATGCTAGCATGATGTATTTCCCTAAAATTACCACTGTTGCCTAGGTTTCCTGGCTTTAACTTAAAGAGACTAAATAAAATTTCACAAAGGGGTTAGCAGGAAAAAGCCAGGTTAAAGTCTAAGTTAAAATGTACTCTTTTTACTTCAGTGCAAATTTAAAACACCTGCAAATTTTCAGGAATGAAGCGCATGTGTGAACACAGCACAACTCATGTTAACCTGGACTGATCATTATTTTGTTATGATCTCTATTTCCTGGCCTGCAGCTCCTTTTTGCATGTCACGCTCTCTTTCTCCACTGTCTTATCTTCTCCATTAACATCACTGAAAGAAAAATATATTTTTTTGCATGTTTATATGTATGCATCACTGAGTGTGAGTTTAAGCTTCGAGTTTGAGCTACCACTTAAGAGCTAAGCAGACCTACAGATGAAACTAAACAGAGGAAACGAACTAACAAATATTTATAGCTTTTACAAAGAGGATAAGATGTTACAAAAATGCAACGGTCCCATCTTGAACACGCTGTGTAAAAAAGCCTCTAGAGAGAGGACACATTTTTTTGATAGATCTGTTTTGTTAAAGGAGTAACATCTGCTGCTACATGATGGTGCGCCTGCATTTCTCTGTGTACAACAAGCAGCTTAAAAACATGGAGCAACTTAATGCAAACTCGCTCATGGTCCTCAAAAACTTGCAAAAGCCACACCATTGAACTCCCACAAACACACACACCTAAACCCAATGCCACCCACTTAACAGTATCTACAAATCCCTCATTCATTCATCAGAGAGGAGGCCTGCTCCGGTTCTCCAACACTCAGCAGGACTATAGTGAGAGAATTCTCACCAGGTCGGCCAGTCCAGTGAAACTCCAGTAAAGGCAGGTGACATTGAAAGCAGTGATGTAGAAAGTGCGTGAGCAGGAGGGTTAAAAAAGAGGAAACATCTGCTGTAGATTCTGGTAAACCCAGAAAACCTGCAGTCACGCTTCCGACAAACACCTTCCTTCTGCTCTCTGTTCAACCTCTGTGCATCATTTGTGTGTGTTTACAGTTAATCAGATTATAAAGTTTTTTCTTTCTCTAAGTCAAAGCCTTCACAGACCACCGGACTGATGAACCACGTAACAACAGTTTCCCCTGAGGTGTGTTTGGCTTGAAATTATGCACCATTGACTACCCAGGAAACCACCTCATACACAGAAAAATAACCAAAACACTAAGAAAAATGTTTTGCAGGCACCGGAAACCATCATCAGCACACACCTGGATAAACAGTTGTTCCCCTTCAGTTAGCTTTAGGTGTAGCACAAAACCCTTACAATGCCAGGCAGGCGACTTCCAAACACTAACATGGCTACTGTTGTGTTAGCATCCGTCAAACCTTGTTGCAGTGTCAGAGGCAAAATGAAATGTCCCTGTCACCTTCATGTCAGATCCAGTCAGGCTGCACTTGTACAGTGATAGGCTGTGAGAGCCGAGCAGAGGTGTAATAGTCTTCCTGCAGTTAGAAAATAGCCAGTTTGTATGACAGGTTGACACTTTGAGTGGAGGGTAGTATTAAGGTAAATGACTTCTGTTTAAACGTTCTCAGTTACATCAGTAGCATCAGACTTCATTATAAAGCTTGTTGCCTTTTGCTCTGACCACTGCAGCACTAATGACAGAAACGAGCCGAGGTCAGCAGAAACACTTTAAGCTCACACGTGTGAAAGTCACCCACTCGGGCATTAAGGCCACACAATGAGCAAACCTATCCAGACAGTGAAAATCATTTGTCATCAACAGGTGGCAGCTAAATTGTTGAGCGCGTTTTGTGTGTTGTGAGACGGCAGGATTAGATTTCTCATTCTGATCCAGGATCTGTCATCGATACACGAGCACTTTGAATCTTAGGCTTACGTGTTACACTTGATCTTTGGCCAGATTTTCTGACTGCACATGTTCACACTTTTAACTGACATCAAAGTATAGTCAGACTTCACATTGAGATGGACACATCCATTGTTTATTTGTTGCGTATATGCATTAAGATAAGGAGCATATGAGCTCTGTATTGGCCTTAACTGTTCTTATTCTACAACTAACAGGCCTCTAACTTAGACAAGCTCTACCTGAACAGTCCTTATTGTATTTAATTGATACTGAACAAGGATGCTTTTTGTAGATCATTTGAGACACTAATGCCTAACTAAGTACTGTGGCACAACTAAAAAGCATCAAATATTGACATTCACGCTCAACCAAAGTGTAAAAGCTCTCAGTGATGTCACTTATTGGTGTCTCTGCACCATAAAATGCACCACTTTATCTGCATCATATTAGTATCTGTAATGAAAGTTTAAAAAATTATTATTGGTTTTGGCAGATGTTTCTCCACTCATGTAGGCAACACATTTAATATGTGCACACAATGACCAACAAATAGCAAGCATTTGAAGTGCCATACGCAGACGGCAGAATACTCTAGTCATTTGCACTGTTTGTGACGCACAGGTGATGTGAGGAAGTGCAAAACAACACTTCTTAACACTGTGCACTTCAAGAACTTTAAATCCTTGAACTATACTTTGCTCCAGGTAGTAGATATGTTTAAATTTGCAGAAGAAACATGCATTTTTACCCATTTTTACACAGGTGTCTTTAGGGATTTTTGAACTTTGGGACCCAGCCTCTAGTGGACACTTAAGGAACTGCAGTTTTCTGCCTCTTATGTAGAATATCTTCCTTACTTGGTCTAATTAAGCAGTTACTAAAATGTTTTGGTGCTGTAGTTGCAGATTCATGCAAAATAATACATTTACACATGCTTTGTGATTACTTATTATGTGCAACAAAGATTCATACTCATGAGGATTAAAGGATTATATTAAGTATGTCCTGTTAGTTTGATATACTCTTCAATTCACACATAGCTGTATGGAACAATTTTAGTTTCCACTCCCCGGCCTAACAGCTGAGCTGGGGCATGTTGAGGTGTGTGTTTAAATATATGCAATGAGCAACAACGGTGTTATCCAAACCTGCTTGTGTGGTGCAGGTCTATATTAGGTTAGTGTAGCACGGGGCTGTTGCATTTTAGGAGCAGGTGACTGGACATTCCTGCCTGTATTAGGCTTGACAGTTTACTGTGGGGGAGTCCAGAGCAGGGAGAATTACACCGAGCTATGAAGAGGGAGGGAGGGCGGTGCACTGCAAACAATCCTCCGACTGCAAAATCTTATTAGACCTTGCTTACCTGTAGGCATACCTTAGTGAATTTAACCCAACATCCCAGTTCATTAAGCAGAGAGAAGACCTCAGTTAGAAGTGCAGTTACATATTTATACCTGTCACCTCCTCACTCTAGCCGAGAGTGTGTTTGTCATGTGGATTATTAGAGAAATTACCAGTCAGCAGGGAGAGATGTGAATGCACAAACACAAAAAGAGGACAAAAAAAAAGGTAAAGGGAGGGAAATGATGGTGAGGTGGGTGGAGAGGAACTGCTAATGGCTTAAAAAGACAAAGCTGGCCTGTCACAAACGATGCTCATCTGAACTGATGGCTGCCCCAGGGAGGGAGTGTCACAAAGTGTAAGAGAGAAAGAAAGACTGAAGGGACACCGAGGAGGGACAGAGGCGGCTAGAAGGAGACATTTAAAAGAAAGAAGAGGAAGAGGAGAAAAACAAGAAAGAGTTTATTCACATCAGAGAAGTTACAGAAATGGACATCAATTTAGGCTGCTGTGTGTGTGTGTACTCTGTGTTTGCTGGCACCTCAGTAAAGGTCAGTGCTTGATGCTGTGTCTGACAGACGTCTCTGTGAGGGGACTAGCCACAGAGCAATACACACACATTTGTACACACACATTCACAGACAGGTGGACGCGCAGAAATAACCCAGAACTGCCTTTGTGTTTATTGGTCGCGTCTAATTTTACAGCCACTCCCAGTTCCCCTCGTTCACAGTGATCAGCAGGTCAGCACACCTCAGTGAAGCGCTGCCTGAGATCCATGTTGACAACCTACTGTGGCTTCACTAATTCTGACACTAACGGGGAAAAGTGCAGCGAGCGCTCTTCCCTTTTTGTCCAAAAACCTCCTCTTCGTGGCATTTCAACAACAGCTGACCACGCTCTCATTTCTCCAGAATGTCAACTCTGTCACAAGACACCCGGGGCTAAGCGTGGCGCTGAACCCCTGACACACACATAATCAAACGTAGTGCCTCGGGCTATCGCTTAGTTGTCACAGTGGTTTCTTGTTATTCATGTGAAGCAGGGAGAGAAAGGGGTTAACGCCGTAAACTTACATCCACAAAAGCTCTTTTGTCACCTCAGTCCTTCACCAACACAACCCCCTCCTTTTACATCCTTTCCTTTCTCCGCAGGCAAAGTGGCTTTTCCCCGTGTGATCAGGAAGGGTTAGTACACCCCTCCTCCTCCTCCTCACAACACCAGCCTCCAGGGCGAGCAGGGCTGAGGAGCAGTCAAGCAGTGCTGCTCACACCATTACCCTGCTGTTAAATGACCATGAGGGCCGACTACAGGCGGCCTGTCGGATGGACAGCCACGAAAAATCTGTCTTGCTAAACTAGGCGAGGAAGAGTGGGCGCATGTGTGTGTACATGTTGAAGCATAACATGATTTTGCCAAGTAGGATATGTTCATGGATCAAAGTCCCACAGAGACACAGTGTGCGACACATCGTTTTTCATTAACATCATCTACCAAACAGAGGAAGAACTCATTTATGATGAAGATGAAGCAAAGGGCTGAGACTCTGAGGAAACCACCAAGGATAAGTTTATCCCTTCATCTACAAACTTTCAGAGATAAGTGTCTTTTTTTCTATGCCGCTTGAAAAAGTGACTTTATCCTGAAAATCTGAGTTTTTCTTCCTCTATAACATTTCCCTAATACTCAGCCCCAGGTAAGACCAAGAGCTGCTTAAGCTGATGTCAAAACAAGAAAAGTGGTCTTGCACGTCAAATAGGTTGTCTATGCTTAAAAGTAAGCTTTCCATTGTTTGAAATATCATCATATGAGATCATAGAAAGCTTCTATAAAGAATTTAGCGAACACAACAGTGCCTCATGTCTCTCCTCTAGTTCTCTATTCAAACTTTGCTGGTGCTTTTTTTTTTTTTGGCATGAATGCAATTTGCCAAATGTATGCTGCACCTATTCTGAGAGGGGAAAAACATCCTTATTTTAACCACATTGGATTTTTTGAGTCACCTGAAGAGTCATCATTGCAGCAAAGATGAGGAAGTACAAAGCAGCAGTAGGCGCAGTTATCGGATATCGCCAAAATAACCTCGGCGCTGATTCAACTGCAGAAAATTACCTGAAAACAACAAGAAATTAGATACTGGAGAATTTATATAAATGCTAAATCTTAGCCTTTCATACTCTTAGATCTTCATTCACTATTTAAGATGTAAAAATGTAAAAGACAGTCAGTAAACTCATGAGTAATGGCATCAGGATGAGGTTATTCAGTTATTGGAGTCAGCTAAGAAAAATCTGTATGTGAATTTCAACATATATACATGATATTTGCTATTTTTGATATTGACCATGGTACAGCTACTTGCTCTTGCTAAGAAGTAGCTGGTGACCACTGAATATTCAGTGCTGAAAGACGTTCAAATTTGGGTTATTTGTCAACTTGTGCAACATCAGTGATGAAAAATTCAAATAGCAAACCAATCTACAGAGAAATTTTTCAAATATGTGGTGGAATAAGTCCAAAGCGCACCTCTCCAAGGTCCACACCGCCTCCCTGTACTGTGACTGTACTTGCTATGACTTACACATAAACTATGATTTGCAGAACAGAGGCGGACAGATGAAAAATCACACGCTGAGTGAACATCGCTGTTGTTAATGCACCCTCTCAACACTGTGCTGATTGCTGAAACGGCTGAGGCAGCAGGTAAATGCAGGTCGTGGAGTATTGATGTATTGATGGGCTCCCTTTTGTGCATTACACCCCGAGGTGCTGGGATGGTGCGTGGGCGTGCGTCTGGTTGCCACTGGCCCAGGAGACCATTAGTCCGCTGTGTCAGAATTCGAAGGCGAGTATCGACAGTCCAGCTGGAGCGATCGATGGGCGCAGATCTCTCACTCCCCTCTGCCATCATGGTAATGGGTGTACAGTGAGTCAACAGAGCTGCTTTAGGACTCGTGTGTGCTCTCTGTTATATCATCAAGCTCAGTGTTTTCCATCACTGTAAACAGGAGAGGAATCAACTTTTGCTTGTGAGCGCGTGAGAAAGGGATTGTGAGTGAGTCAGCCATACTTCAGAGCTGAATTGATTGATTGTGTTAGAAGAGTTGGACAAACACGGCTATAAACCAAACACACTTTCTGATTGTACATAAGCTACAAACAGCTGTCTTGTCCTCCGTTCAGCTGAATCATGCTCTTTTCTGCTCTGGTCAGATGCTGCTTGCTGCTCCCTGAGGCTGAAAGATGGAGGCCAGAGCAGGGTTACTCGAATGTGAAAGCCAACAGGGTGGGTCCTCGGTTACCAAAGCATACTGCAATCATTGGACCGGACTCTGGGGACTATCCCATGTGATGTCACTCTTAATGTGAAGTCATTTAGATGGGAACAGCCAGATGTTTTCTGGGATAAAGCCTCCCTTTCTTTTAATGACAAGTATCTCTTAAGTGGAAGTGCTTCAGATAGCGATCTGACAGATTCGTCCTGAGGGTAAGACCTATGATAAAAGATCATGGATGCGGTGATGGGGGTAAAACATCTGATCAGGATGTTTCCTTTTCCTTTTCTATTCGTCAAGACAATTGACCACTGAAATTTAGATTTGAGGGCACATGGCTTGGACTATTCCTTATTATTCGTCATTTTATTATCGTCATTATTCGTTATCAGTGTTTGCAAAGAACACCAGCTGCACGTTAAAACTCAACCATGCAAGTTCTTAGAGTTTAAACATCACAGCATTGTTTGTGTCTTTTAAAGGTATTGGACCCCAGTGGACAATTACGCAGCTCTTTTAATCCTTGCAAATGAGGAACACTTCAGATATTCTTAAGCGTAGATGTACATAAGCACCAACAAAGCTGCAGTGTGTTCTGCAGCCCCTTCTGCCATCCAGCGTTGGAATACTTCAGATTTACTCTCAACTTCCTAGCAACACATTTATGCAACTCAACATCTAGCGTGCAAATTCTGGAGCATTGTGACAACAACTGCATTATCTAGGTATGTTAATATCTAGAGAGGAGAATCTGGATTTAGATCAGTTTCAGTTTCAAACAACAAAAACAAAAGGACTGACTGTTGTACTGTAAAGGAATTGATGCAGTCTGATCTCAGACGTCAACAATCAAATGCATTGAGAATCAGTTTTGTCACAGATAGTCTGGGTTGTTTTTGCAGGAAATGGAAAAACATCCATGTTGAATCTGGTCCTTTTCATAACCAGCTCAAATTTGGTTTAATATGTAAAACCACATCCTAAAAATGTTCCCTTTTCTGTTATCTTTTTCCAAGAACGCCACATGCTTAGAGGCTAATTCGCCAGCTGCCTTAACTCCTGAGACAACCACCCTGATTACAGGTTGTGGTGCTCCTCCTTGACATACGTTGGTGAAAAAAAAAACAGAACCAGTGGTCCTGAGACAGTCAAAGGAGAGCTTTAGTCTTTGTTTCTCCGACTCTACGGTGGGTGAACTGGGTCAAACAGAGCTGTGGGAGCTCCCTGTGGTTCAGGGGGAATTCCACTGGGCAGAGCGTGACCCTGAACACTGGCCTTCCTGTTCCACTGTGGTGATGCTCTCTGCAGCCGAGAGGAAGAGGAAAATAAAGACAGTCCTGTCTACGAATGTCTCTGGCTCTTCTTGTCACAGCGACAACAGCATGAGTGTGACTTGTGTTGATGATGTGTGTGTTTGTTTTCACCGGTGTGCAGCTGTTGTCAGACAGATCAGTGATAACACTCCAGCTTTTAATAAACTCACCCGGAGTGTGTGGGTGTGTGTGTGTGCAGAAAACTGAAAGGTCCTGGGCGTGTGATTGATGGGAGCTTTGGCACGGTAAACACATGCACACAGACACACACATGCACACACACATACTGGAGGTGGGTGTAGAAAGGGGTGGTCGAATGCAGCAAAGCTCAGCTAACATTATTCATCTTGTGTTCATCTGAGTGAGCTGAGCCCACCGTCCCTCATATTGATGAGCCAGGCGGTGTGTATCACTCACTTTATTTACATAGCGACACACACACACACACACACACTTTACAAAGAATAAAGGCGATACAGAGAATTTCAGCCGTTTCACCGCTCCTCTTTTCTTGTTTCTAATCTCCTGGACTTCTTACGTTGGTTATTTGCATGATGGGGTGATTCAGAGAGAAGAAGGCTGGGAGAGGGCGGCCGAGCTGGAGGGAATGCAGAGAGAGGGCAGGAGGGAGGAGGAGAGGTTATTTTGGAGTCTCTGAACTGTAATCACCACCTACAGCTGCTTCCTCCCAGGTGCTCAAACTGGACATCGGTAAAGGGAGGGAGGGAGAAAGTGGAGAGCTGAGAGCGAGGCTGGCCCTCCGGAGGAACAAGAGGTACTAATAGAGAAGAAGAACTGCGTTTTGTCAGTGTGTTATTATCCAGAACTTCCATTTATCACTTCATAACCACCCTTAACCACATTGTAATATCTCCCTGTTTCCCTCTGTGGACAGATTGCAGCGTGTTTTTACATTTTTTCTCCCTACTGAGCGCCTGCAGGCAAGGGGAAGTTTTATCTAAGAAGGAGAAGGAAGGGGGAAGTTGAAGAGTCTATCTCAGAGCTGACACAACACTTCCAGTACCTGACAGAGAGACAGGATGGTGACTACTGCGGGAGGAAGCTGGTCTGGCTGTGAGTTACAACAGACAGCATGTGACTCGCTCAGAAACAGACAATTAAAAACAGATGAGACCAAAAAACTGCAGTTTTTAGTTTAGTTCTAATTAACAGGGACACAATAAAAGTGATATTACAACTTTTTCTGCACTCTGCAGAAAGTTTTATTGCAAAAATTGTGAATAATTTTAGTGCTTTTCTATTTGCCAATAAACATTTTTTTTCTTTTTAATTATTATTTGAAGTTGAGGTGGAAACAAAAAAGTATTTTCACCTCTGTTCTCTGTCTACTGTATGAGGGAGAACGATTCCGATGAAAATCATTTTTTTCTTGTTGTCTACATGTTCAAATGGCAATTTTTGATGCTATTGGACATATCATAAGAAAAAAAAGAGTGCAAAATTGTATTTCTGAGTATTTCTGCATTCAAATCACTGTGAATCTTTGGCAGACCCAAACGGCAGGTGCAGACACAGTGAGATTTCCTACGTAGCAAATCCAAGCTCCACCCCCCCGGACCCCGCTATGCAAGTCAGGCTCAGAGAAATAGAGAGGACAATCGTGGAACAAGCGTGTGCATTAGCGGATTGCAAAGCTCGTAAGAAAGCTTATTATGATATTCACTTTTATCATGCTCCTAAAGACATTAGTGTCCAAGAGCTGAATAGCTCCTATGTTACCTGCCACTTCTACTGCACCAGCAATGTTAGGCTGCAAGCTAACGCGAAGAGGAGTGTGCAGAGTATCGCTGTCTCCATCCATGACTCGATGCAAATTGCTAATGAGCTACTCGAGCTCTGCATTAGAAAAGTCCTTAAAATGACACAGGTAACGTGATCTTGGCTAAAAACTTCATAATCACAATTCATAATCACAATTTAAAGACCACTGAGTTTATTTAAAAACTTTAAGTAGTTAAAAACAAAAAAACAAAAAAAAAAACTGTGGGACTTTAAAGGTGTTTCGACTCTTGTCCCTGCTGACTCAGTGCCCCTGATGTCGAGTACATGACATGCAGTGCAGCAGTGGTGAACATGTTTACTTAATTGAGCAGTGCTGTAATGCCATGTCCATGTGTGTCTATTTAATCTGATGAGCTAACACTGTTAACTGATTACCTGGCTCACCTCATCCCAAGACCGGGTAATGAGCTGATGAGGCTTGACTTCTGCTGCAGCTTGCTTTTAATGGGTTCACGACTCAGGGCACTGCACTGACATGAAGTCTGAGAGCTGCCTGCATGTCCAAGAACAAGCTGTGTGTCCAAATTATACAAAAACCGGGACTCTTCTAGCATCACGCAAGCTTACAAAGAGTGACTCAGTGTATGTGCATGACAGCATTAAAAGGTAGCTAACAAATGCATTACCTCTGGTGCTCCACAGTGCCTTAACCTATGATGTATGCTTTAAAAATCTTCCACTATGTGGCTCAATCAATCATGCACCCAACAGGCGCACCCACTCCCAGTTAAAGGTGTTGCTATGAGAAGCCTCGGAGGCCAGGAAATACATCACACAATGGTTCACATGCCTTATGCTGCACCAAGCGTCTTGTGTTCAAATAAAAGCCGTCCATATGGAGGGTTGCAGGCGTGTCCCTGTAAGTCATCCATGGCAGCCTCCCATTATTGTCCAATAAAAGCAGTCGGCGCCGTGTTAGCTGCACATGTCACCACCACAAGCTCCACTGTCTGCTGCATTTCCAGCCTGCACGCTAGAGCAACACGGCGCATTCAACAACAAATGTGGATTAATAACATCCTTATAGGAAATGCACAAGTCCCCATAACAGAGCAGATTACAGGGAGGGATAAAGCCAGATGAGGGATGGAGGAATACCTGAAAAACAAATGAAATCAACAATGCATTCTCATGTATAATGTATAGGAGCCAGTCTGCAGCAGTGTTTAAGTCTGAGTGAGCAGCACAGACCGGGTTTCCTGTCCTAAAGACAAAACAAACAGCACAGGAAAGGTCAAAGTTTTGTGTAAACATCTTTTAAACGCCTTATATGCAACCCAAAAAAGTCCCGAAGATTGTTTTACTCCAGAAAATGAAAAAAAAACAAAAAAACTCCAGGATTGTGCAGCAAAATACCTCTCTAAAGACAAACAACTCCTTGAAACCATTAACACCTGAATACTCAAATAAAAACACCAGCAATGATACAATAGACTGCAGGGAAAAACTACCAAAGGTTAATCTTGCAACGTTGTCATCCTGTTAAAGCCAGCGCTCCAACCTGGCCAAACAAACCTGGCTGATAAACTCAGTGGAGGCATCGGAGCCTCACAGATTATAGATTATCAGCAGATCAACCCTAATGCCGCTGCAATGGACAGTCACCTGTCTCCTTACTGTACTGCCTCTTACCCATGAGGCTGTGGGAGCTTAGGTCATCTGTAAATCTACACGAGTTTTTCATTAATGAGAGAGGTATCTGAGGAGATTGACGGGTTATATCTGGATTTTTTTTCTATCTGGTGTTTGTATGTGTGAGACTGTGTGTCAACATGTTTACACAGATGCTGACACAGCTTTTGAACACACATTTGAGTGTTCGTACACATCTGGTCTGCAGGTCTGTAATTATGTCTGAGTACAGTAGGGCTGAGCGATATGGCCTTAAATCAATATCAGGATATATTGAGCTCACCTCCATAACGACTCCACAAGCTGCTCACCACCTCCTACATTCATTTCATCTACTTCAGCCGCTACAACTTTTGAACCTTCCTCCATCACCTCACCTCTTTGTTACAGACTTTGTTACGGATGGGGTGGAGTCACGTCTCTGACGTAGTTCAACTTCTTAAAGGGACATGAGACCATAGCCTGCCTACACACATCCAAAACCAACTTTTACATATTTACTTTTTGACACCGAATATATTGAAATGGGCAAAATGACGTTAGTTACTGTCATAAATTTCAGAATGCAGCCTGAAATGTCTTCTTCTAGTAAATAAAAGTAGGGCTCTCACTGTCCATGCCTAATTATCATATGATCGAGGACTGCTGCTGTGAGTGTGCAACTACCTGCTGACAAATGAATGAAGCTGAATCAAGACACTAAAAAGAACTGCTTTACATTATTGATATGCACTTAAAATGGGTTTGAAATGCAAAACAATGAAATTTTAAACATGGATTAAAAATACGTGTGGTTATGGTGGTTGTTGTTTTGGCATGTGAGACACTCTTAGGACAGGGTGCTGCTGGCCTGGCTGTCTAAACATGTAGTCATGTACAGAGATCATGTCTCAAGCAGATGGCTCGGTTTGAATCCAGACTATGGCTACTTTCCTCACTCTCTCTTCCCATTTTCAGCAATAGGCACTGTCCTCTTTTCTACAACAAAAGCCTGAAAATATGTATCAAAAAGTTATCAAGCTTATATTTTGAAGTCTAACCTGATATGAGTTATTTATTGTCACAATTTAAAGCTTTATTTTGAAAGTCCTGCATAATATTTATCATTTCTGAGCAGAATGTGCAATACTGAAGTTTATAGTTGGACAAGTTCAGGGTGAGATGTTGTTGCAGAGATGTTTGCCATATTTTTTCCACTCTTTATTTTTTCAAACACAGTGTTACAGTGGCCCAGTGCCAGCCTCATCCCGACTAAAACATACCGCACTGTCAGAAGAGAGCAGTTTGCCGCCTCTCTGCCCCCGTCACTCTCCTCTGCCAGCAGCAGTGTGAGGATTAAAGGAAAATCCTGACCTCCTCATCCACCTTTCTCTAATACCTCTGCTCATTTTAAATGGCTCCTCCAAAACTAACTGGCTGGATTACCGCTCAGGTGCTCGCCCAGTTCCCCGCCCACCTCTGCTGTACAGAACATACACACTTAGTGATTCACATTCCTCAATCTGAAATAGAAATGGACGCACAAACAAAATAATCCTGTAGCTTTCAGGATTTTGTCTCCTTTAATTAGGAGAGATTCAGCCGTCCAGTAAGAGGTTAAAAGGATGATAGTCCACAGGATATGCTGATATTCAATTTACCTGCTGCGCACACACACTCACTCACACACACACGCGCTTACACAAACCCTCCCTACACTCTCAAAATTCCTGCAGCAGGGCAGAAATGCTCACTCCTGTCTGTCTCCCTGCCGGAGTCGCTGGCGTAGCACTTTTCCTCCGTTTTCATCACCATTCTTAACCTTTATCTCCCTCCTCTCCCCCCATCGTCTGCTGTCCTCCTCTCTTTATCTCTCCTTTTTTTCAAACAGGCTCCTCGCAGCGAAACAAGGTTGTAAAGGTGGGAGATGCTGATATTGTTTGGCCTGTGTGTGTGTGTGTGTGTGTGTGAGGGTGTGTGTGTGTGCACTCTACATGAAGTAGTGTATAAGAGAAGCGCCGAGGGGCTTATTTCCATGGGAAGACTCTGGCTCCCTGCCAGCCAAATGGCACTGCTGGAGGCATTTGTGTGTGCTCAGTGTGAGTGTGCAGGGTATTGTTTTGTGCCTTTGTGTCTCTTTTACAGTGTAAATATTTTAAGATGATTGCAAGCTTCCTCAAGTGAGTATATTAAGGTTTTTACAGTTCAACATGTCACTGTAAAAGTAGCATGAGACCAAGTTTAATATAAACGGAAACACATGCACACCCATCATGGGTAGGAACTAAGTAGAGTGGGTTTAATTCTCACTGTCCCACTAAAAAAAGCCATTTTAAGACCTGCAAAGCTGAGAGAAATCCTGTGAAAACATCCCAAGACTTAACCCGACTTGACTTCTTGTCACAAAGCAGACTCACGGGTATCAGGAGAGAGCCAGCATGCATATTTCATTTACGCCCACCTATTAGTTATGTACGGAAGAATAGGTAGGTACACTCACACGGCGACCGTTTGTCTTTTTAATGGAGGGGGGTGAACAGCAGTGAATACAGGCAGAGAACAACTCTCATGCTCCTTTAATGGGAATGAATAAAGGATGAGTCGAGGCTCAGACACCAGGTTAAGACGCTGTTTAGCACCTCTGGCCTGGCGCCCGGTCTTAGAGTCAAGGATGGAAGGAAGGAAAGGACGAAGAGATGGATGAGAGGAAGACATCAGGAACATTATCAGTGTGAATTGATGAGATGGTTGAATATTATTAGTTCGACTTTAATTTGGCGTAAATTATGAGACGAGGCAACCGACTTTGTGACTCCAAATCTCTAGTTACGTACACACTCAAAGAAATCAAATATGGCAGCTTGATTATCGCCCTATCATTTCAAACTATGACATCATTGTTGCTGCTCAGCATAATTGCTTGAAGCGTATTATTTTGGCTCACTGTTAGGCACAAAAGTTTGTTTTGCAATGGTGTTTAGCTGGTAACAAAGGGCCACACAATGCCAAAACTTTAAACTATTCACCCTGAAGTACTGACATAGACCTAAACCCGGATCTTTTCTTTGAAGCTAATCAAGGGTTCTTAACAAAAACAGTATTTTGATTTGCAGGCCATTTGAAAGTCTAACCAGTCATTGATTACTTAGCAAATCTTACTACCTGGCAATCTTAACAATTATCCAGCTGTGTTAAATACTTGATTCTGATTGGTCAAAACCCCATAACAGACAGTGTGCAGATATGGTAATATTTAGCAACACCTAGCACTCACTTTTACATTGAAATGCTCCCATGCTCACCCCTCTGTTAAGGACAAGATGCTGCTGAGATAGATAATGGTTATGATCCTCAATTTTTCAAGAATTTACCATCTAAAAAAACATCAATTAATGCAAATTATCATTCTGTCTTCCAGCTGCTGCATTTCACACTGCCACTAACTAGTTTGTCCACTCTGAATTAACTGTATAAACATAGTGGTGCAAGAAGGTGACTTCTGTGGAAGGGGACCTGCTCCTATAGAGACAAATCTTATTCTAATTAAAGAAAAACACAATAAATATTCAGATGACTGATTCAAACACACTTTGAATATTAAATTCCAATTCCGCTAAGTCACTTCTGCTAAATGCTTCTTAAAACTATAAACTGCTCCTTTAATTCCTAATAGCAAAGGCAACATCAGGAGTAATTTGATCAGACATATCAAATCGATCTATAAAAATTGCCTCTGCCTGTTGACACTGTGGCACAACAATTAGTATCTTCAATCAGTTAGCTTAACAACTTGGATGACACTTGAGTTTTTGATCCTGTCCTGCAATCCGGGCAATGGCAGCAGAGCTGGTGAGTGCCTTTATAAGATGCTTTTTGCTACAAAGTAACTTCAGCCATGAGGGATAATGATAATAGCAGCGGGGAATGAAGGTTTGGTTATAAGTTAACATGCGTGCCTCATATGATCAGTGATTCAACCCCCAACCAAAGCCCTTTATTGAGGATCCTCTGCACACTTTCCTTTATTCTTTTGATAAAATGTCGCAAAAATTATCTTTAAAAAGTTACAAAGTTCTGAGAAGAAGAAGCACTAAGAAGATACATCCTGCAGGTAAACTATTAAGAACACTGTCTCAAACACTTTTTAAATTGTGTCCATAATCACTTTAAAATTGATTAAACCATCTTTAAATCAGTAACTTGTGCCAACTTGTTTGTATTATAAGTTGGTAGCTGAGTAAGTGGAGGGAAAACTGTTGACGTCTTTGCTGACTTAACTGGAAACCCTTGGACATATGAAACTGACATATGAAACTGACATTAAAGGGGCACTGGGATTGTCATATTTTGAAGCAAAGGGCCACAGACCAAGCTGTCATATCTGACGAATTTGGATTGAGGACCTGTTATGATTTCAGAAGATGGAAGGGTATTTTTTCCACATTAAACTCTGGCTAAGAGAAGCAGAAAAGGCAGAGAAGCCTCTTGTTGACACTGAGTCTGGTTCCATACGCCTCCACAGACCTCGTCTCTTTGATCCACCTTTGGAGAAAATGAAAAGCGTTGAAAGAGAAAAGAAGCAAAACAGGGACCTTGGATGAGGGATCTAAAGCAGTGCCTTTCAGAAAGTTTCTGCTGGTTTGGGAGAGGAGGTATGAAGGGACAGGTGGTGGTGGTGGGACACTTTGCCACACCAGTGCAGCTTATTCAGCCGTCAGTGTGCTGAGAGAGCAGAACAGGCTGTGGGACGGTGATGCCCAAACCTGCCAGTACGCTACCTCAGACACAGTCATAATGGCTGCCACCTGTCCCAGGGTTACAGCAAGCAGAAAGAACTCAGCAGCTGGCAGCACCTGTGCTCAACAGTCAGGTCACCACATCAAAACAAGGCTGCTACTGCCGGGTGGAGGTGAGGGAGGTGCCTGGAGAAGCCACATATGAAGAAGCCACATGTTTTCAAAATGTCTTTTTCCCCTGCAGACTGTTCAAATGTAGATGCAACCTGTCGGTTTCAAGTGAAGCCAGCGAGGAGTGTCTCCAACCTGAAGTTTCTAAATGGCAGAAAAGGGGCGACAACCTTGGCTGGGTGGGGTGTGGACACAAGTGGCTCCAAAAACGAGAAATAAAAGTCAACAACACAAAACTTGAGGCTCCAAAATAGTGTCTACTGTCCAGTGGTTGGCATCACCGTGACTACATCCCCTTTATTTCCAGTCCATAATGGGGACCAGTGGAAAGAGGGGTCAAACAACCAGCCCAGACAGAAACAGGCCGAGCTTAACACTTCATGTCACACCTGATAGTTTTCAATTCAACCCTGAAAATGGCGCTAGGAAGCAGTTTAATCATGACACAAAAAGTGCTAACAAAGTGACTGCACTGTTTGCTAACATGAACTGTTCATGGAGCTTCTTTTCCACAGAAAATGCAGACAAATGTCAGAGCAGGCCCTCTGCACCTTCATGCTTTTTAACTCAGGGGAGTATTTGAGGAGCTGTGGGTGATGGCTGGTGCCATGTGACATGGTGTGAGTGCATCTTATTTTAGAGTGAGAGGTTGAGATAAGGTGTTAAAAAAGGGGGAGGGAGAGGAATGCTGAGCTGTCCTTGTAAGCCTCGATGCACGATGGATGTCATCTCGACTCCCAGGTTAAATTCTTTGATTACAGCTGCTCGGTTATAATCTCTTCTTTTTAAGCGAGGGATCCTGACCTCTAAAAACACTCTTCTCTCATTCTCTCTCTGCCCTCTCTCTCTCTCTCTCCCTCTCTCTCTCTGTGCCCCACGCAGCAGTTTATTTAGCTGCTGTGTTTACATTCCTGCTCAGTCAGCCTCTCCCAGGGGAGGATGACTGGATCTGAGCGCTGAGGCTGAGCCGCTCTCTCTCAGGGCTTGAATCAGTTACATGATAGTTACTACTGAGAACAGAGGACGACAAGTACAGGCACAAAGGCGAGACTTCAGGGACTCTGCTCTGGGTAGGAGTAAAAGTACAAGCATTAAACAATCAGATGGAAAGTGAGCAGCGCTCTGTCGAGCTTATTAAACGAACAGAAAAAAAACTATAAAGACGTCCTTCTCTCAGCTGTCCTGTGTTGTCAAAGTAACAGTGACCATGGGCGGGGCTGAGGGCGGCTAATTGGATGGAGCTATAGGACGTCCTGATCGCTCAGGTCCCCGGCACTTCACCCTCCTCATCATTAGACTGACTGGCTCCTGTGGCCCCCGGCAGAGTGCTGTCTGCACGCCCTAATGACCGCTGACTCACTCAGCGCGCTGCAGCGCCGCCACATTAGTCCAGCCCAGAATAGCCCCAAATAAAGAGAGATGAGGGGGGCGTGGGCATGTGAGGCGCCCCAACAGATTTTAAGACATTACCACAGGCCACATAACATTTTGTTGTGTCCTACCTGATTTTGTGCCCAATTGTGGCTTTTCTTTTTTCTTTATTTGACTCTTTTTCTGAACCTGATCTTTCCCCTCAGTCTGTATTTCTTCTGCACTCAGGCTGGATTTATTTCAAAAATAAAGGAGCAGCATGTATAATGTGATAATGAGCATTAAGTAATTATAATTTCAGTCATTTATGAATAAACTCAGTCACTATTGGACAGTACTACTCGTGCTATACTGACTTATGAAGCCAGACATAACCGCCACATAAAGAAAAATATCCAAGTGTCCGTGTTTAAATAATTAACAGCTGCTTAAGTGGATTTCGTTTCAGGAGTCATGATGTCGAGCTCAAAGACGGCAAGTTTTCATGACGATTCATCAAACTGTGAAGGAATCATTTAATAACTTGTGTTTTATACTGTGTTAATGACCCATGACAAGAACTGAGCTCATTTTCCAACATGAATAAGTGTTGATATTTCAGTGACAATTATTCAGAGCTGAACAGTAATGTTAATTTAATCCACCCATGATGCATTGGGTGGTGCCGGTTAGGCTGTTGTTGTTGTTTGGGCTGGGTGAAATCTGTGAAGCACAGTGTTTAACTTTTTAAAAATGTCTGTAAAACCACAAATGATACAAATTAGTCCTAATTACAAGCATAAGACAGCCTGCTGTGATATGGAATTTAAAGGATTAGCATCTCTTAAAGAGCAGGATGACAATCTTCACTCCACTTTTGCATCTTTAGGGTCGCTGCACCTTTAAAAAAATATTCTCTGAAATATTAAATTATTCATTTATGTGCCTGAGTAAAAATGAGTCAGTGCACTCTCTGAATGAAACCCTGAGTGATACATTATAGTGCCTGGCTCAGCAGATAGCGACGGGTTAACCAGGCTGTAAAACCCACATGATGTTCAGACAGAGGCCCGCTCTGTGTTTGACTGACCACGGGGGGTAGGAGGAAGCCGGGGAGAGGGAGGAATGGGGACAGGGAGGGTTTTGTGCTCTTGTTCTTCCAATAAGAAGATAGCAGTAAATCTCCTCGGGCAGCACAGCCTCCCAGTATAACAAGTCTTTAGTTCATAGTGTGGGCGGGAGAATAAATTTCATTAAATTGACGGTACAGACCTACAGAAAAGGGAAAGTAAATAAAATAAAAAAGGCTATCGGCTGTTAAAGAGGACACAAGCTGTTTAAATTTTCCTGAATGTTCACCTGTGTGTGCACATCCATGTGCAAGAGAAAGAGAGAGAGAAAGAAAAGAGAAAGAAAGAGAGAGTGAGAGGCCACATCTGCTAGGGATTTGGGACAGGGCGATTTCACCTTCTGTCAGGAGAGAGAAAGAAAGAGAAGGAGTGAAAGAAAGGGAGTGAGAGGAGGGGAGGCAAGTGTAAAAGAGACATGGCCTGTCTAAGATACGCCGACTGAGTACAGTATCAGCCAAAAATACTCCTCCTTACAAGTCAATACTGAGTATCGATCGTGCGTAGGGCTTATGCAACACCACCACCTCACTGTACAATTATGGTGAAATCACTGTGTGCAGGCAGGGGTTTGCACAGCAACCTACATGCCCTGTGGAGACGGAAAAGCAAACTGGAGATGTGTGCCACAGGGTCCTTAAATCAAACGGCACAATGTGAACTAATGGTCTGGAAAAACTGGGGGAGATCTGCGCTCACATGGGTCCTTATGGAGAGAAACAAGCAGAGAAGGAGCACAAAGGAGGCAGCAGGCGGAGACGCAGGAACACAGGCGTGTTAAATGTTTGCAGGGCTCTGAGAAGGCCGCAGTGATGGAAATGACTTAGTGATGAGAAATGTTGTGTGTTCATAAATCAAGAAGAGATTCAGAGCGATATGGAGCTGAGGTTGTTGGTGTCCAGCTCGGGAGGAGAAAGCGAAACAGAAACAGTTGGGAGACACTTGAGAGAGAGATACAATCACCTCCCCTCATCACTGTCCAAGCCTGCTCCTGCTCCATCATCGACTCCTCCCCCTCCTCCTCCTCTTTCTCCTTCTTTTCCTCTTCTGAAACCCAACACAGCTCCATATCCATCAGGACTCTGATGTGAGCTCAGAGACGGACGCGCTTAATCGATAGTGCCAGGTTGCCAAGACAACCTTGATTTCCTGTCGCTGCTTTCGCCTAGCGCCGGTGATTGCGCCGGGTGTCCATTGCACCTGCCGCCCTCTCCTCCTCCTCCTCCTCCTCTTCTTCCACTGTCTCATCAAGCGCTCCTTATCCCCCACACCCCTCCCTCCTTCCCTCCCGCCGCCATATAGCCACCATAGACAAAAGAGGAAGACAGTTGTACAAAAGCTAAACAGATTACACCCCAGAGGTTGGGTTTGATCAATCAAAACACAGCACTAAGTGTTAGGCCTCATGCACACACACATACACACACACACACAATGATGCATGCAAATACACACTTAAACAAACACACACACACACACCCTGTCATCCCCAACAAAAGAGAGCTGTGACAGCTATCATATCTACCTTAGAGGGTGATGTCATTGCACCTGGGAGCGTTTACCATCAGCCCCCCCTCACACACACACTCACACACCTCGCCTCTCTCCTGCAAGAGGGGTTGGCACCTCCTTTTTTTTTTTTTTTTATTCATTAATGGAGAGCTCATTAATCGTGGCTGATAACGAGGACGTGGGACAGGGACATGATTAAGGGTCTCTCTCTCCTTTAGCTGGGCGCCCTTGGGGATAAACAGCCCAGAGTGTGTATATATATATGTGTGTATGTGTGTGTGACTCTGTGTGGGCTGCATGTTAAAACAGGTACAGGACACACACTTCGCTCTATCTCTAGGACATCTGCGGGATGGGATATTACATGTGTTTTCACTTTTCAGAGATGATAGCCAGAGTCGCTTTAGTGACTAGTATCCCACTGAGACTTAAAGAGTTGGCGCTTGAATCCATCTTTCTCTTAAAGATCTAACTTTGTCTTTATCAGGGTTCCCCGAGGCTCCGGTATAACGCTGAGAGAGGAAGTTTGGACTTAGAATAAACCTCTGGAGTTTTCTTTTCCTTCTCACTAAGTTGGGATGATGAAGACCACCCGGCCTCTAAACTGAGAATCAAAAGAGGGGAGTTTTAAAAGACTTCAGGACACATACTAAGAGAATATTGTGGATAAACTGATTGAACAAAGTCTTTTATGTTGAAGAAGCCTTCATTTTGTGCATTATCTCATAATTTGTCAATTCAATAGGCTGAAAAGGAGCCGGGCTTGTAGTTAAGATGAAAAAGACAGGGACTAATTTCTCAGAGTCGCAGATGCTGCAGACTATGAAATTGTTGATTGTGTGTTAAGAAAGTAATTAGATTTTTTTGCGTTCTGCTTATACTTTGTGTGTGTGTGTCTGTGTGTGTCTGTGCATGTGTTGCAGACATTCTCCTATTTGTTTTAACTGATCTGTTTCATACTTCACTGTTGAAATTTCAGAGTTGATGGCTGTGATGCAACAGTGAGCCCCAGCCATTTTAATTTTTATGTTTATAAAAGTTACAGACAAAACTAAAAGTACTTTTTCATACAGGCACAAAAGCACAAACTACTGTGCAATAGTCACAGGAAACTTTTTGACTGTGCAAAATTGTTGCAGACTCATATGCTAAATGTAAGCTGTGGGTCACCCAGCAAACAGTTTTATCATGGTTGATAAAAGTGCGAGTCTTGATATCTTTAAAACTAACAAAAATAAATCACCATATCACTTCCAAATATACAAATATCAGTTATCATTCGCTGTCAAAATGGGTGTTAGTGGAACTTCATGAGATTTTGGGGTCACTCTCAAGTGGACATCTAAGGAACTGCAGTTTTTTGCACTAAGGCACTGGCTTCATTGTCAACACCAGAGGCTGATTTTCTCAGAGCACACAGAAGATGGTACTGTGGTTTGTTTTGACCAAAAACCTTTGAAATATGGAAACACCAGCAGTGCCTAGAAACGCCCTGTGAGGCCCTGTCCAAAAGTGTGTGAAACTCCAACAAATCCCCATCAGACCCCAATATGTGGATGCCAACTTCCCTCCAGACTTAAACTACAAATAGATGTGGTTGAAAGTTTACTCCACAACTATGGGTGGTATCATGGTTGTATTCTTCACAAACTTTGATTTTGGCCTGTTCCCACATCAAACAATGTGTAAAATAAAATAAAGTAATAAAATACACACAAGCTAGAAAAAATGGTTAAATCAGATCTTGCACACCTGCATGTTTGGCTAAGCTTAAAAACTGTGACATTTAAAAAGAATTAGGGTAGCAGAAAAGCACAAAATATTTCCGCTGCAAATGACCAAGTGCTTTAGAAAAATTACAAAAAGGAAATAAAATTGCAGTAAAAAGACACTTTCTTTCAAAACAGACCAGAACTGACCCAAAAATGTGAAGGATATCTCTGATCCACTAAAGCAGGGGGGATGTTATGACGTCTCAGGCAGAGGGCAGAGATCAGCCTGTACATACATAAGGGCTTTGTAGAGCAGCCATCGCTGAGTCTTACACACACATTACATCCAATCTGTCTGGACCAGGACCTTAATCCCCTCTCCACGGCCATGGAGACAAGCAGACAGTAATCCTCTATATTTGTATATTAATAGCCTGAGTCTCAGGGGGGCCTCTCTATATATTGTGATGTATGTTTTATTAGTTGGGTAATCTGCTTGTCGATCTGGGGACCTGGTCCATTTAAATCTAGGTTTTAATAAAAACATGTCCAGCCCTGCTAGAGGGATAAGCTCCCCAAGGACGAGGGAAAGAGCATGTCCAGGTTCAATAGACTCATCATCAACAATAAACAGCTTTACATCAATGTTATCTGTCATGGGGCAATACAATTATTAGGAGGGATTCAGCCCCAGGCCTCGGTCCCTTCATAAGAACAGAGCTAGATAAAACCAAGCTCGCACGTAAGCCTTCACCTAGTTACTATAATGCATGCTTCAATCAGCCCTAGTGTTGTTTCTGAGGGTTTGGTTTAGGCCTGGTCCACGGGTTGGCCAGTTTTTCCTCCTCTGGTTACAGAAACAATCTACATTCACAAATATGAAATAACATGATGTTTAAATATATGTATAAAAAAGCCTGCTGACACCACAAAGACACTATACGTTTATTCCACTTCATTTTGTAGAAAAAAAGACAGCAAGAGAAGAACTTTCACTTACACCAGAAGAATATTTGCATCTGCATTGACCCCTTTATACCAGGGGTGTCCTGATACAACTTTTTTACTTCCAATATGATACCAGCATTGTAGCCTTCAGTATTGGCCAATACCTATTTGATCAGATATTGGCACAAACATGTGCATGACAAGTTAGTACCTTTGTACACACTGTTGTTGTGATCATGTGTGCTCTGCATGCTGGATCTGGGTGCCGCTAAATAGAGGTGCCAGAGAGGAGTCTGGAAGAGACCGCTTGTATCGGACTACTGATTTCTGAGCTTTTAGATGCAGGCCGATATAATCCGATATATATTTTTTTGCTGATATCCTGACTGATATCCAATATCAATAGTGTATCCGGACACCCCCACTTTATACAACCCTATCCTTTCTTTTATACCTGCTGTTGAAACCAATATACTTCCACAACCTGCTTCTTCAATAACTTTCTGCTTTTATTGCAGCTCACGTCCTCCATTTTTGTAGAAAATCAACACTGAATTAATTTACTGAGGTCAAGAGTGTCATTCACTTGTCAGGTAACGATGAGATCAGTAGTCTGTATAAACCATGTGCAAGTGCGTCAGTACCTCAGCATGAAATTGTCAAAAACTTTCACCTTTAAAGGAGCTTTCTGAAACCTCTTTTCCAGTGACTTAACGCTCCCTTTCTGTGCGGTCGTATGGACAAAGTACAGAAAGAAATCTATGTTCTCAATACTACCTGCCAACATGCGGATGAGGCCTCAGAATAAATGTGCGTCCATGATAATCCTTCTTACCCGTAGACATTGCCCCTCCCCTCCTTCCTGACCTCGACCCCTCAGACTCTCAGGTGGAACAGATTTGGTTAAAATGCTGCTCCACGTCTGCACACATAACCGGCAGAGTAAAGGAGAGAGCAAAGGTGAGATTCCTTTGGATCTGAATCACGTTGAAGTCCTCCGCTCACCTCTCAGCTCGTCTAGACGCTGTGTCACTGCCACACCCCGGCGGACATCTGTCCTAATTCAATAGATTTATCAGACAGCCATTCGATTAGAAGGGCACTGCTTTAAATTAGCCAGTGAGTCAGGGACTGATGGAGGTGGGCTGGACAGGAGGGCCATTACAGCCTTGAGGACACTGTCCCTCCTGCTTACCAATGGTCTACAGTCACCAACAATCACAATGACGTCTGTAATCATCTAAGCTGCAAGGGCTGCGGACAACTGCTGATGCAATTAACCTGGCCCTTCATGTGATTTTCTCTTTCAGATGTTTTACTCTGATTCAAAGGTATGCGGCACAAGCATGAGAGCAGTTTTATGGTAGGCATCAATCAAAGCGGATAAACAAACAGCTTTTCAAACATCTGGTCAGGTGAGGCTGAGATAGAAGAAGAAAGGCACCCCAGGGAGATGTGTGGTTTTCCTCTGAGATTCACTGATTACAAGGAAGGATGGGAGGGCAGAGAATCAAAACTAAAAAAAAGTAGAGCAAGAACTGAAGAGACAGAATTCAGAGGAGGTCAGGAATGTACCCACAAACCACAGACACACACACACACAGGCACAGGCACAGACAGAAAGAAACAAAATCATGGCCTTTAAATGCACTGCAGTGAGACCATGTGACTCTCACGGGGTAGTCTCATGGGAGCATCCCCCACCCCCGATCTCCCTGATGGACTATAACAACAGGAAGTCAGCTTGGCCTGCAACATCACACCACACCACACCACACCTACAGATAGCTGCGCCCTCTTTTCACACACAACACATATTAACACCGAAACATTCACACCCACGCAGAGATAGAGATACACAGGCCCTCACTCCAGTCTTCCTCATCCATCAGACGTTACATTAGGGGCACTCATTTATCAGTCATCACAGTTATGTCCAACTTTAATCCCTCTAAAAGTGTGCTGTGTGCTGCAGAAGAATCAATGGCAACGTGCCCGCTGTTGCTGGCGTCGGTGGCGAGGGAGACGCGCTGCAGCCTGGCACCAAAACAAGGAGAGACCAAGACTGGCAGGAGGGGGGGGGGGCTTTCAGTGACTGAATAGCCCTTGTTTATCTAGGCCCCTCTGGGAAGTCAGGACACTGCAGTGAATAGGAGCCAGTTAGCAGCAATGGCATAATAAGAGCAGGGAGGGGGGCGGGGTGATTGAAATTCTACACAGACTACTGTCAAGACAAACTACCCCTGCCAGCTGTGGCAGCAACTCAAAGAGGCCGGACAGTGTTCTCCATGACAGACGCTTTGGGTTTAGCAATTCAGCATTAGAGAACCAACAAAATTTGATTCCCTAATTCTTAGTTATTAAATTAGCAGATGAAAGCTGGACTTTTATGTTTAAATAAGCAGAATTAGATCATATAGAGGCCAGAGGTCAGACGGAGTCCATGCAGACTTTTGTTAAGTTAAGCTACCATTGCCAACTGTGGCAGGGACTCAAAGGGCAAGGGATTAGGGGTTAACAACACAACATTAGATAACCAATGCAAATCTGTGCGCCAGTGCTTACACATCAAGTTTCAGACAGACCTCGAACAAGAAAGACTATCCTTAGTAACAGATCAGCAAATTGGGTAACCAAGAGGTTTTCTGGATCTGGATCTCATTTGATTTGCTTGCTCAAAAAAATCCAAAATAATGGCAGAAATCATTGAGGTTGCATCCTCTGAGGGGCGCTTTGAAGACCAAACGCATCAACAACCGTCACCCTGTTTTTCCTGACTGCAAAGGGTGCAGTAGGTGCATTGCTTGCAGCCTGATATTTCATGGTTTTTGCATGCAAATTCAAACCAGATGGCAAACTCTCAAACAAGCAATACACGAGTGTTCAGCTGCAACTCAGAGGCAAAATGAGCAATTTAAGTGTAAAAGGGATGGACACTTGAAATTTGAAATTAGCTTAAAGAGATGGTGATGGTGGTTAAAGCTCCACTGAGGAACTTTCAGTTTGTGTTGATTTTGGCGCCCCCTGTGGACAAAGCTATCTTTGCTAATTTTGTCCTGTACATGTGATAATTGTGTTTCTTAACAAAAAGTTAGGTTACACCTCTCAGTTTAAATGCTGTATACAAAGGATTAAAAAATGGATTCTATGCAATCCAGGTGCTTCAAAGAATCCTGCCCCTGATCTGGGACACAACTAATAAGATCGGTATATTAAGACCATGTGAAGGGACAGGGGTCAATGCGATGTTATGCAGACCTCTATCAAGGAGGAACCACCCTCGCTGACTGTGGCAGGGAATCAAATTGGCAAAGGAATTCAGGTTAACAGCACAACATTAGGTAACCAACATGATTATATGCACCACTGCCTGCTCATCAAATCACCAAACTAGATGTGGAATTTTGAGAAAGACGTCAGAAGAGACAAAGTGATTTTCTACTCAATGTGCAAAAGGTCAAATTTTTTCTATGAAGTTTTGGGTCTGACACTAAACAAGATATTTGCTCACGAAAAGCACAAGTTTAAGGAGAAATCTCAAGGCTTAGGTCGGTATATAAGGGCCATGAAGAGGATGGAGATCATTGTAATTCTATGCAAATGTCTGTAAAGAAGAGCCACTCATGCCAACTGTGGCAGAGACTCAAATTGGCAAGGGAATCCGGGCTAACAGCACAACATTAGGTAACCAACATTATGGCACTGTTGGTGGTTCTGGTACAGGAGGAAACTGTTTCAGAAAAGCAGAACAAAAGAGGCACCAAAATGCTGCAAAGCCAAGAAATGGACTTCTTTAAAAGATGGTATGATAGGGCAGAAAGGACAGGACTCTACTTTGTGTTAAACTGTGTCCGGGCACTGTTTGCTTCTCATGGGCAAGCCTGGGAGTAGTGTCCTTCAGCCCTGTTTCCCAGTCTCAGCAGGACAGAAAGGTACTCTCCACACAAAAAAAACCTTATTCGCTCACTGGCTCACCCCTCCATTTACAGAGCCAGATCTTTTTAGTGTGTCTGAAAGGAGATGCTGTTTTCTTTGCCCTCTGTGTGGTGTGAAGCAGACAGGTCTACAGTTTAGCAATAGCATTGATTCTTTTTCCAGGCTTTCATTTTTGTCTGGCCCCCAGTTTGAGGTCTCTGTAGCCCCTGATGAGCCGCCTTAAATAGGCTGCCACAGGTGCTCGGGGCCGTGGAAGGTGAAGGAGGGGGGAGGTGGCCTGGATGGGAGCAGAACTGCAGGAAGCCTCTTGTTTTCACAGAGATAAAGGGCTTTCAGGTTGCATCCTGGGCCGTAATCTCTCACACACTTCCTGGTTTTGTTCACGGCCAGGCAGGAGAAAATGACAAACTAACCTTCACCCTGAGAGGCTGATCGATAGCTTCTGATGAGACAGGATGTGTGTCTTGCGTTGGTGGATTTAAAAAGCATAAAATGACAGGGACTTGATTTTCAGCAGTGTTCATTAATAACCCTCGATCAGGGATGATTTATGGGTTCATTTATTCCAAGTGCCGGTTCATTACCTGCTGTGATTATAAGAGTGTGTGTATAATTCCTCTCCTGACCTCGTCATTTGCTTTTAGAGCACAATTAACATTGTTCCTAGCTTTTACACCCTAATTGCAGAAAAGATAACGCTCCCCTCCTTCAAATAGTTCCCTCTCACTTAGTGCTGTCCTTGTATTAAAAAGATCCATTTGAATTTGCATAAAAGGGGTTTATTGAAAAGTTTTCGTCAAGAAGAGGCACAAACTTTCAACTCCCAGTCTAGAGACCTCTCGTTCTTTTGTTTTCCCTCCTGCTGATAATAACTCTCTCTATTCTGAACATGTCCTTCTTAAGGAGGCCGCATTTGACCGTGAGCCACACCCTGTTCTCCTGCCAGAGGAAACTTTCAATCTCCCTCCCTCTCTCTGGCTCTGGCTCTCTTATACTTTTGTCAGGTGTTATTTATGAGTGTTGTATAGCTGAGTTGCTGCATGCCTCCAGCACCTGCTGGTGTTAGAGAATCAGAGCCAAGGCAGCTGCCAGAGAGAGTGAGAGACAGCAGAAAAGGAGCGAATAGTGGGGGAGAGAGAAAACCTTGGGTCACAGGAGGAAGGTGAGGGACAGTACCTGATGACGTGGTGGTCTGTTGATGTAAGCGTACTGGCATGCAGCTTACACATTATGTAACTAATGAGTGGTGTTATGATGGGGGCTGCAGAACAAAACAAACAAACAAGTGATGAGCTAGCACTAATTAATAGTGTTGTACAACTCTGAACGTGATCAATTAAAGGCCATGCTTCATTGACTTGGAGGAAAAGGCGCCGGCGCCACTGTAACAAGAGAGGGGAGGGCCCTGTCAGCATGAGTAAGAAGACAGATGCACGATCGCCTGGCTCTGGAGCTCTGAGGGTATCTACTCCCCTTCACTGTACCGCCTCCAGTGCGACGCACATTACACCCATATGTATTTATGGAACGTGCTCAGAGAGGTGGGCATGTTTTGACTGTAAACACCTGAACACTGGCGGTGGAAGGCTGAGCCAGGACAGGTGGGCTGTGATGGGTCAAAGGTTACTGGCTAAGCTCCAGTTCCCAGAGTCACAGAGAAGCGGTGTAACAAAAATGAACTCTGTACTTTGCTTTCAGTCAATAATGTGTCACAGGCGATGTGTGGGGTACGTGCGCTGACGAAATGCACAGGTCGGACTACAATAGCAAGAACACAAACCCATCCATCATTTTAACTGAGCAAAACATAGACAACAAAAAAAGACCATATAACCCCAAACATGTGTTAGCTTACAGTTTTATATAACTGTGTTGATTAACCCTTTAATGACAGGTATTTCTTTGACTGTTTCTTTACAGCTAACATTATAATTTGCACTAAAACTACAAAAAAACACAATTGAACTCTAACACTGTTAGAAAATAATGTACGGGTACAAAGCACATTAGGAATGCTGTGTAAAATATTCATAGAAACAGAATCTGATGGCGCTCAAATTGCTTAAATCACATATTTTCATTGATAAGGATGCAAATCCAACTTGTTTAATGTTGAAACTTGAAAAAATGTTTTTGTTTACATCAGGGAAATGTTTTTATTAAAAAGTAGGGAGAGTGTTTGCAGCCTAATATTTAATGGAACTGTAGACCACAAAAAGTTGTGTAATGTTATAGAAAGCACCTTAGGGGACACCTCCAATCTAAATACAGTTAGAAAAAGGTAGGTAATAAGACTTGGGACAAAAAGGGGACACTCAGAGGAGGCAGAGTCCCCTCAGGAGGATTTACCATTCTATGAAAGACTACATGAACAAATACTTCAATAATTTCAGACTAATATGTCCATCATTAAAAGATTCAGAGAATCTGTAGAAATCTTTGTACAAAAAGGACAAGGCTGAAAATCAATACTGGCTGGCTGTTATCCCAGGGCCTACAGGCAGCACGACATTAAAACAGGCATGACTCTGTAGTGGAAACCACTGCATGAGCTCAAAATTACTCCCAACTTTGTCCATGAACACAGATTTCTGCTATATCCACAAATGTAGGTTACAGCTGTTCTTAACATAATCCAGAAACCCTATGACCTCTCTGGGACCAGGTCTATTTAAAATGGAATTGGGTTAAAGGGAAAACTTCCTGTCAGTCTGACCAATCAAATTTTGACATTATTTTTGGAAATGATGGACACAGAGTGCTCCGGTCTAAAGATGAGAGTGAGGAGAGGGTTTGTTATCAGCACACAGTTTAAAAGCAAGTATCCATGATGGTGTGGGGTTGTACAAGTGCCTATAGCAGCAAGAGAACTCTGCATGCATTACAACAGCATGGCTCTGTAGTAGAAGAGTCCACCTGCTAAACTGGCCTTCTGCAGTCCTGATATGACACCAATTGGACCCAGAACTATTGAGAAGCTTTTAAAAAAGCTTTTTTAAACTTGTTGTTGGCAAATTAGGGAAATATTTTTTTTACAAAACAGTAATATTTTAGTTCTGTTTCCTCTGAATTGATAGTTTAAATTGTTTGCAAACCATCAAATTCTGTTTTTATTTACATTTTACACAATGTCCAAACTTTTCTAGTATCTATTTCAATAAAGAAGATTGAGTCAAACTAGAAAAATGTGTTTTTAGTGGTCGTTCACTTTTTATTCATGTACTGTTTTGTATTTTTAATTCACTGTGACAACAATTCACGAGGCCTGTCTTCATAACAGTGGAGTGTGTTAAAGCTTGGCTGCCTCCTTAAGTTATGTCCCACTAGCGGGGTCATGGGGGGCTCAACAAAACGCTCATGAGTTAAATGGAGCGATGTGGATGCTCCATGCCTCCCTCCGCTCTGCCCTCCCTTCTGTTTTCAGGCTGCCTGTTCTCCTCTCATTAATCCTGTGTGGATGTTTATCCATGTTGACGTTCAGCATAGCAGCCCGCCTTCTGTCTGACTAACAAACATGGTGACTAAGGCTTTTTTTTTTTTCCTGCTGGAGTTGTCACCAGGGTTAGCCTGAACTAGCTAGCTATGGGGACAGAAGGGCACTCGATTTGTTAGTCAGATCACAGGCCGGCTGTGTAACTGGAATCAGTATGTGAATATGAATGTGTACCCCCTCAGGAGGGTCATTATCAGTTGTGTGTGCTACCGAGAGGAAAATCAATATGGTCATCATAACAGGCTGGCACACAGCCAGCCCACTAGGCTGCGTTCAAAGCACAAAACATGGCAGCGGATTACTCCTCATCTGATGTCATCCAATTTCATCCCTGCAGACAGAGACGCTGTGGGATGATAATAAGGTCAAGCACGTTTAAAAAGGACGAGACGTCCAGCGTGTTTGTCAAAAAGACAACAGAAAAGATGATTAAACAGACACAGTCAGGTGGTGTGAAGTGAAGCTCCAGCAGAGGTTTGCCCTGATGAGTTTTTGCCACAAACACAAGCTGGCGTAAGAGCCCCTCACGGCCCGCCTTCTGCCTATTGTGTCAGTCCAGTCTTTTTCATTAACCGCTCCACTGAGGACCACGAGGAGAGGAGAGGAGAGGAGAGGAGAGGGGGGAGGGGATAGATGGGCGGGAAGGGAAGGGAAAGAAGGAGGTGGTGGTGATGATGGGGGGGATGAGGAGGGGTCTGCAGACAAACCCAAAGGGACTCACTGTGGACCTGAAGAGCAGCCACCAAATACATGATTAAAAACACACATCAACAGGCAGCGCAGGGCTCGCCGTACACAATATTTACCTCCACCAGGATGGCAATTTAGAGGTAATCTCACCCTCAAGTATACACAGGGGTGGAGGATATTATCTCTCACCCCCTCTCTTATAGGGAGGGGTTAAGAAGGAGGGGGAGACTGAGAGGGAACAAGGGACAGAGAATAAAAAAGGATAAAGTGGGAGAGATTGTAAGGTTGCAAACACACCTGTCTGCTCATGACTCACTGCTCTGGAGTCAGCAGAGGAGAGGAGGCTTTTCTGCTCTGTTAGCACACATGATACACCTAACTGAGCTCTCCTCCCTACGCTGCACTGCTACAAATACTTGCCTACACCACTTTCTGTGTCAGTATCAGTTTCAGGGGCCGGCCCTATTGGAGCTGTCGCAGACCAACACGACTCACTTAATGATCACGGGCATGTCAGTGAGGACGCCGTTCGAGAAGTTGTGTCACATCCAGGAAGCCGTCCTTGTCTGCTTTTTCTGGGAGGCCACATTTCGCTGCAGATCAACGGCTGTGTTTTTGTTCAGTTCACTGAGCTGACGCGTCGCTACAAGCTCCCACCGCCTCATCCTTGTTTGACCCTCCATTCTCAATATTTTTGTCCCTTTCACAGAGAGTGTTTGTGATCTGTGGGCGGCTGCGACTTTGTCAGTTAGGGAGGCTGCGAGGCGTGTGGCCCCCGTCACTTTGTCCTGTCATGCAGATGGACCCCTTATGACACATGGCAGTGGTTTTTGGGAAACACCTGCCTTCTGAGTCAAATGAAGCCCTCACCCTGACCCTAAAACAACCGTCTGTGTCACATTCATATAACAGAGATGCTCTTTACTCTCACACATATTCAACAGTAAAGGTCAACTTTTCCAGAAAATTGCTAGATATCACAGCTCAATCTGCACAAGCCAGTATGTAATGAGTCCAGTGTTACCTACAACATGGTGAGATGTTGGTTTGTTTTTGTCTGCTTGGTACTGGGGTTTTCACCAACTAATCAACTCGTCTGAAAGGGTTCACCTGTTTTGACTTTGGTCTGATTGCAACACTATCACTCTGAACATCAGAGCTCAGAAATAATATTTGCTGGTTAAACACTCTGCATCTACGTCACCTCAGGGCGGTCAAAAGACGCTTCTGGACAAGACTTGCATAAACTTCACTGCTTGTTTTACTGCTAACTCCTGGCCCGCAAACTCCATTTGTTCACTGTCTCAAAATGTACTCACTGAATGCAGATTTTTTTAGGCAAAGCAAAAGATAGACTTTTCTGGTTTTTATGTACTTGTCTGGACGAGGCTAGAAATGCATTGAGGATGTTTGAAGTGTCAGCGCCAAGGCAAAGAAGCATAATGTAGATGTAAGCTATGCAGGTGCATCACAACAAATACAAACATCTTAAAAAAGGTTTATTACTTTGCTATTATTATGAAAAAGTAAACTTTGACAAATTTTTGATGACTATAGCATAAAAATGAGAAATCCAGAATCTTAGAATTATTAGAATATTTCCTCAGATTGATTAAAAACAGGATTTAAAATACAGCATCGTCCAACTGCTGTAGGTTTATTAAGGCAGTCAGTACTTAGTCAAGGCTCCTTTACATGAATCCCTTTCTTAACCAGCTGATAAAAAATATGAAACTTTTTCACAATGTTTTGTTTTGGTGAGATGCACCTGTATTCCCAAAACAAATTCATCCCACAGGGATCTGCAGAGCAGGCCCTTGAGGGTCCGGGGGCTGCATGAGAGAGGGATTTGATGAATTCTGCTAACGTTCCACGGATTCCTCCCTCGCGGGGACCTTTGGGAAAAGAATGGGTCATATGCAAATGGCATGCACAGTATGGAGGAGAAGTTTCCCACAAGCCGAGTGTGAAAAGGGCTCTCCCTCCCCATGCCGGGCCGCTGAATGGGCCTTTTCTTCTGCCACTGAAAGTGTATGAGGTAGAGCAGGCAAACTGCAAAGGTAACTAGGCTCTTTCTCCTCAGGCTTTCTCACTAAAGCCTGAACACACAATGGTTCATTTGGGCATTCAGCCACACAAACCCCAATAAAGCACATCCAAGCGCAGTTAAGGGGGTTACTGAAACTGACTCTGGGTTTAAAACTCCGTCTTTACGGAGGGAGAGCACCTTTTTATAGGCTAATGCTCTCAGCCACCGCGGGAGCAGCTAATCATTAAGCTGCCTTTACAGAGGTGGGAGTGTGGTCGTACATCACATCATTTTAGTTCTGCTGAATGGTCAGATGAGGACAGGCCTTTTCCCACCCTGACGGACATGCTGATTGATTCAACTAAGCCAGAGACTAACTTTATTTTCATCTGGTTATTTTAGAGCAAACAGCTGTTTTTAGACTTGAAGCATTTTGCCAATTTTTTTTTTCTGATTATATTTCTAGCTTTGATCCAAAAATCTGAACATGTCACGAGTTTCAGGCCTCTTCTTTTGCAGCACCAGTCCCTCAGTTGTCACCTGTTGTAAAATCCTTTGGTCACCTCTCCACTTCTCACCAACTCCCTCCATCCCCCCTTTCACCAGCTCCGCAGGGAACATGGAGCCCACAGTTTAAGGGGTCAGAGGATGGAGAGAAGGAGGGAGCGCAGAAAAAGCTGCAGCGCCAACAACCCCCCCAAACCCCTCCTCCTCTCTCTCTCTTCCCTTTTCATTGAACAGACTTAAACACAAACACAATTGGACATGCTGGAAGCCTCACAATGGCACAGGGGGGGAAAGTGAAGTCATACTCTAAGCACGCATGGGTGCCTAGGTCAGGGGGCAATCAACAGCACCCCTGGCTACTGTGTCTTAACCCCCTGAAATAAAGGACGAGCCTGGAAGGAGGAGTGAGAGCTGAGGCATACAGAAAGAGAGAGGGAGAGAGAGAGAGAGAGAGAGAGCGGAGGCGGGGGGATTTTCTTCTTACTTGGCACTTTCAAATGAAGCTGCCGAGGAAGTTGGTGAAAAGCAAGGAGATAAATGAAAATTTCCTCCTCCGCTCAACTCTTCACGCAACAGGGGTGGACCTTTTAAATGTAAACAGATGTCTTTAAAACACTGCTGTGACATGTGGAGCTGCAGAAACAATCCCACCTCCTCAGGAGTGAAAAACACTGCCTGTTCCTCCCAAGAAAATTCAACTTTTGGTGTTTTTTTTTTTTTATTGCTCTGCCTCCAATTTACAGCATGTGGTCAGTAGTCTCTTGACAGGGTGAGTGAGTCCGGGGCACTAAGTATAGTTTAAGTATAGTTTTACCAGGCCAATAAACATGCTCTTCAGCATTACATGAGTTGCTGCCAAGTGCCGAACCCGCAGCCTCATTTTCCTTCTGTGATGGATGATTCATCAAGGTGCAAGAGTGTGAGTATGCCTCAGAGAGAGAGCGAGACGCATTAGCAGATTAGACAAATTACTCCTGCAATATTGTCAAATAAATAGAAATCCTAACTACCTGTATGCATTTCAAGTTGTCTCCGAAACAGCGTTCTGCAAACATTAGCTCTGAGCTCCTGAGCGAGGGTACAAAGCTGTCCCAGCACAGGCCTGTTTATTTTTACAAAGAATGTTAACACCGGGCGCATTCCTCTATTCCCAAATTGCTGTGTTAAATTACCGTTGCAGGGAACGGCTGCTATTCCTGAGGGGAGCTGACTGGGGAGAAGCGACAAAGGAAGCTGCAGTATCCCGCCGATTGCAAACACCTGTCGTCCTGCAGGCTGTTAACACCTCTCTGTTTACAGCGGGGAATGGAGCTCACCTTGATCTCTGCTCCCTCAGTTTGTGCCAGAGGCCTGGCATGGCCGCTGACCACAACAAGCTGGGTGATTAATCATAAAAGCCCCAGCAATGACTAATGAATTTATTTTTTGGCTTTTAAATAGTGAGCCAAAGATGTTTCCTGGCAACACTGCGAAAAAAAGACTTGATACAAAGATGTAAAAATGATTAAAATAATCAACCTCAGTAAAATTGAAGTCACTTTGGGGACTTTTTACTTAATTAGAAGTAAAACAAGTCTGTTATTCTAGTCAAATAAAAGGAAAAAGTACTTTATGTGACAAGTATTTAAAGCGTTGATTACAAAACACTTACTTCAACATATGACAGAGAGTTATGAGAGTGTACAATATGCTCATGAGTATTGAAAAGGTTTTTTCCCCCTATTTATTGTTGAAATGATTCTGACTCTGCACCCATCCAGGGTGAACTTGTTGAATATTTCTGCAACATTTCGTTTGTTTTGCACTTTGTTGACAGTCTCTGCGTACTAAAGTCATGCAGTTAGACGTATTATGGGCCAAAAAAAAAGGACTTTATTGGTTTTAAAGTGTAAAGATGGCGGTCCATACAGCAAAGACAAAAAATTTTTAACAAGAGTTGCTTCAAGAAACTTGTCAAGAAGATTTTGTCCTGGAATATGACAAAAAAGAGAGAGCTGTATTTGCACCTGACAAGTCAGCACAGCTTACATCAAGAGTGATGGGATATAGTCACAAAAATGAAGGCAAATTCACTCGGTGAAGTGTGAGTTTTTTGCAGTGTAGATGCCCTCCAATCAGCCAGCTGCCATTCATGAAGCATCTATGTCTCCAATACAGTTAGTGTTAGGTAGAAAAGTAAACTCTCCAGAAAATAAAAACTAAAACTAAAACCACTGAATAAAAAAAAACTTCAAAAAAGAACAATTACACGGGAAATCAATGTACCTCTGATGACAACATGCAGCATTTGATCTAACTTTACACAAGTAATTTCCACCTGAGATGTTGATTTACATGACAGATCAGCTGCTTTGTCAGGAGGTGGTGGGAAGTGAGGACTTAAAAGCGGACCCTCATGGCTCTTTGAAGCAAATGCAAATGACTCAAACATCTGTTTCCTTTGGGATGTGACTTTAAATATCAACAGGCCCGTGTCAGCGGCGAGAAACCTTTAACAAAGCCGTGGTCAAAGTTAGGATTAAAGATTAACACAGCTACAGTTAACACGAACTCAGCCTCTTCAGAGAGAATCAAACTGCCTGTCATTATCAAGGCAAAGACACATCCACACCTTGACAGCAGGACCGTTATCTGAGGTGTGTCCTCCACACACACGCATGCACACACGCGCGCGCGCGCACTCACACAGTTACATAAAGAAAGATGAACCTAACACTTGAGCACACTGCATTAAAAGTGACATGTTAGCGTCCAACACCGATAGCGCCCGATGGAAATGTGTCCATATCGCCGTGTCCAATCATCGGAAAATTTACACGCACTAGAAAAAGCACCGTAGATTCTCCTCCCACGGATACACAGAAGAGCTGTTTGAACCCGAAGAAAGTCGCGACTGTTCCTCTGAAGCGACTCTCACCATCTTCTATCTGATAATACAGGTTTGTCTGACAAAATAACGCTGAGTTTCCAACACAAGCAGAGCTCCTTTTAAGTACACTGGGTGGCACAACACATGAGCACGACTAGTCTGCTTGATAGACAACACATGTTGTCACACCCGCGACAAAAACGCGTCCTTTCACAATAAAATAATTAAAAATAGAAGTCCACACCGTGGCTTCATGCGTTCACATCGACCCACGACGCGAATACACGAAAAAGGCAGGAAAGCAGACGAGTGGCTACAACTCATGGAAGTCATTTACACTACAATAACACAACTAATAATGACGAACACGAAGGTAATCAAGTGTCCTCAAAGCGAGCCGTTTGGGCTCCTCTGTGGATGATATAACCACAATAACACAATAACGTGCGTAAAACCCGATCATCTCCGCTAACCGAAACGGAAATCAAATCCAAATCGATTAATCTCCACTTGAATTATGTAAACACGGGCTTAATAAAAGTCATCAGTATCAGAAAAGGTAAAACGTGTGTTAAAAGCCTCGCTCGTGTCCACGGTCCTACAAGAATCAGGATTCCCTGCGCGCGACTGGAGAGGATCCGCTGTCCTTATATGGGCTGCGCTCGCTCTGCTCACACAAACAGCGCGTGAGATATTCCTCGTTCCCCGGAACCTCTGTTACCCCATCCATGTTACAACTAGTCTTCAGCCCCTACCTCAACACCAGACGGGTTTTAAACACTTATCATGTACGGTATCAACAGAGCAGAAACAAAACAATGAAATAAGTTAAAGAATGAAGGAAAAGGACCGTCCAAAGCGTGGCTCAACAACAAAACCGCACATATTTATTCTATTTTCTAATGTAACTCATTAAAAATATGCTACTGATATATAAATGTAGTTGGAAGTAAACAGTAGGCAAATCCGAATGCGTAAAAGACGTTTTTAAGCCCGTGTAGTTTCAGCAACAGTGTCCGGTCGCTACCTGCTCCGAGTGAGAAAAAGAAAGAAAGAACAAACCAAACAGTTGTGTTTCTTCTGTTTCACAAACATGCAGTGATGCTCAGAACTTATTTGGACTAAATGATAGCAATGTCTCATCTAATCTGAAGAAAAACTGTCAAAAATAACGAGTCCGTCGAGGTCCGCATTAACAATCAGGTAGCGTGTTTCCCACAGAAACAGGTCCGAGTTCAGTGGTGGGCTCAAAAACTCGAAAGAATGAAACTAAATCAATGAATGGGAGGTGTGTAACGGGGTTAAAAGTGTATTAAAATGAATAAAGAGATGTAAAGTGGAGACAAAAGCGGCTCCGCTTATTACAGGGTGAGGTGCGTATAACGGTCTCCGGTGCAGCGGACCGCTAGGCGGAGGGAGAGACGCGACCCAGGTATAACGGTACACCACATAGGGCTGTAATACAGCGCTCACTTGCTACTTCCCAGCACTTCCAGTTACCCGAAACCGGACCAAACTTTTCGGTGAAATTACCGGGAGACACGGCAGCCTCCAGACCGTTCCCCAACAAGCAAAGCTCCGCGTCGGAAGTACTTTTACTCACCGTTGTTCCTCCTCGGGTTCGCCTGCTTTCTGCGCTTACACCTGGGGCCATCCGCCATGATCCTTTCGTTGTGTCTAAATGCTGCCGGAGAGTCACCTCCTCTCTCACCCCCTCTCCCCCCTCCTCCTCCCTCCCTCCACTTCACCTCCCCTTCTCCGCACCTGGTTTACGACACTCAGTTTACGACATCACCTTCCCGCACCTCCCCGACCCACGCTGCCAGGACCATTCATAGTAGTACTGGAAGTGTGAGGGATGACTACATGCGCACTGTACCTGCCCAAGTGTTTACTTATGCGCCATGAATCTGAGATACAGCTTCTCCCTCTGTTCTTACTACTCCAAAAGGTAAAAGGTATGAGCATAGGTGATGGTAGTCTGGGATAACCAATGTTTAGAATCACAGAAAAAACATCATGCTGTTTGTAAGATATGCAGGTCCATAAATTCTTGTTTTATTTATTAATAAAAAAAAACTTGAAAAGGTGATTCTGAGTTGTTTTTATCTTCTTTCTTTCCTCACACATACGTTATTGATGATTTCTTCTTTTTTCTATTCAGTGCACATTATTTAATAATTTGCCTTTTCAAAAATATTTTATCACATAAAATAAGACCAAAGAGGGTCTGAAGTCATTAGAGGTTCATACAAAGTTAAAGAGTCAAACAAAAGGTGAGGCACTACTCAGGAAGGGATGCACTCAGAGGGGGGCAAAGGGGGGTTCTTGCCCTTCCCTCATTGCCCTCATGTCTGAACCCTTAAATTACAGTAAAATGGATAAAACTTTGATTTTTGCCCACTCAAATGCTTTGTTGGCAGAGATCACTTAAAAAGTGTCTAACTAGGTGCCATCCCGTGTCTTCAACCTGCAGAAAGTGCCCTTTAAATGCTTGTTCGATGGACTTTATGTAAATAAAGTGCTCTTAGGATGCTTTTTCAGTAGGTAAAATGTAAAAGGAGGAGTTTTTAATTGTCAGTTTAATGGATGAAATGTAAATAATGCAATATAGATGAATTTACAGAGGATTAAACGAAAATAAAATGCAATCAAGGTGCCTCTTTCCAAGGATTGATTGTAAACAAAGTACTGACTGGATAAAACATCAACCATGTCCTCTAGGGATGTCTTTTAAGGGGTAAAAATGTAAACAAAGAGCTCTTTGATTTCCCTCCCAGTGGGGATAATGTAAACAAAATGCCCACATTTCGCTTTGAGATTTACTGTAAACAAAGTGTCCTCTAGGTGCCATCCAATAGAAAGGTATAGAAAAAAGACCTCCTGAATGCCCCACCACCAGGTTAAATCTACACCAAGTGCCCATTGGATACCCCCTTTAAAAAAAAAAAAATGCAAACAAAGTGTCATCAACATGCCCTTACGGAGAATAAAATGCTGCTAAACCACTCTTGATGCCCTTCCACTGAATGAACTGAAACCAAGTGTCCTCTGATGCCCTTTTAGACAATAAAATGTAAACAAGGTGTCACTTGTATGCATTTACAACAAATGAAATGTAAACAAAGTGTTCACTGGATGCCTGTCCAATAGATAAAATGTAAACCAAGTACCCTGTGGATGCCCTTTCAGAGGATAAAATGTAATCAAAATACTCTCAGGGGGGAAATGGATTGAATTTAATTGGATTAATTCTAAATGGATCAATTGGGTTTAATGGATCAAATGTAAACAAAGTGCCCTCTTGATGCCCTGTCACCAGATAAAACAATTTGCTAAAGGGCTGTTTTGATTTGTTTTGTTGTTTTGCAAGGTTTTCTCCTTAAATTCAATTCTTTGAAAGTCCTTCACGGCATATTGCAGTTTGCCCTCGTTTCTTAAACAGCTCGAGTGCACCATGTCTTCTGTTTATTTTAGCCTTCCTTATAAGCATAGAAAACCTGCGATAAAAAAAGAAGCAGAGTTACGGCCATGTGCTTCATAACTTTGACCCACTGACCTGCTGTCCACATATCATCCATACTGGTGTATGTTAGTAGTACAGAAAGCAACCAGCCCAGCAGACAGAGAGTGTGTCTATTTGTGTGTTAGAGAGAGGAAGAGGTCATGAGACTGTCATCACCAATTCAATCCTCCACCTAAAGAAAGACGCTGCTGTTCTCCTGAACTGAGCTCACTGCAGCAATGATGAAGAGGACACAGACAAACCTCCACACACACACACACACACACACACACACACACACACACACACACACACACACACACACACACACACACACACACACACACACACAGTCACACTAGACTCTGTGTGAACAGAAAGGAGGGTCCAGGATCACATGTTTGAGGTAAATTCCTTTGGAGACCTGCAGGGATAGGAAAGATGTAGTTTAGTACAGCCTGAGATGATACTTGAGGTCCCATGACATGCAATTATAGGTCAGAGGAAGCAGCCTTTACTGTGAGGCTGTGGCTCTGCTTGAAGCAAATCACAATAAGAGTTCTGGTGAATGGACCTTTGGTATGTGAAATGTTGTCATTCTTCAGTCTTTTGTGGCAGTCAGATGATGTAACCTGGTTTCACCTCGAGTTGAGTGTCCTGCACTGAGTGTTTACAAAGACTGTGACATTTTGAAATCACTGGAGGCGATTTCCCTAATGTCATTTGGATATGAATCTGATCTTAGAACATTTACTACCCTAATTCCAAACAAGTTGAGATAGTGTGCAACAGAATGGTGGAAATGCAGAATTTGATGGTTTGAAATTCATATAACAAGTCAGGACAGAGGTATTTAACACACAACTTCTTCCTTTAACAATAACCTGTTTGATTTGGAGCAAAAGAATTTAGCTGAAGCTTTGAAAATGAAGTCTTTTTCTGTCCTGATACAAGATTCTTTATTTCATGATGCACTGCATCTTTTCAATGGATGATAAATTAGGACTCCAGACAGGCCATTTCGTCACCTGGACTCTTCTACTACAGAGCCGCGCTGTTGTTTTACTTGCAGAATGTGTCTTGTTGATAAACGCAAAGTCTACAGTGATTTCTCCTACAGAGTCTTATCTGTTTTTTTATTTTAATTTTTTTTTATTTTTGTTGTTGTTATGTAGTGCTATTTTCAGTTTTGTTTTTTTCTGATTCTACAGAATCAAAATCAGAATTACTTCAGAAGTGATCCTGAACTGGGAAAGTATGGTGTTACTGCAGCTTTTTCCTAGTGAGCCAAAACAATATAGGATTATAAGAAAGACACACGTCAAGAAATAACCTTAATAAAAAATAAAAATAAAAATAAATACAATGGTAGAAATGATGATACTTGATGGTTCATCTTTGCACTATTTTCAGTTAAATATAGGCTTTGAAGGATTTTCAAACCATCAACATCTGTCCTCATCAGCATTTTACATGTCATCCCAACTCCTATGGAATTGGAGTTGTAATGACATAATCCCAGATAGATGTCGTGTCATGAGCATATATGTGACAAACACTCACTGCAGGACAATCAGCTTATCATTCAGCTACATGTGACAGCTTGTATACATAGGATGGCAGATCTGTGTCCTGAATAATTCAGTAGCAGCAGATTGGTTGATCTCTCAGGGCAAGCTGCTGAGACACAGAGTAATAGCTGCAGCATGAACGACACCTCCAAACTTGCTCCAGGTGGCCTCTTTCTCCAATAGACAGCCTGCCTGCCTTGGAGGCTGAGGGTAGGGTGACCACACTCTGTATTACTCATGTTGAAAAAGGCCCCAGAAACAGTCGACATCAGCAGAGATCAATGATGAGACGCTAAGCTAACTGTGCAGCCGTAGCGGCGTTCCCTGCTCACTGAGCCTGGAAAAATAGGATGCCTTCTATCCAATGGAAAGTCCGATCTTTTCCCATTTTCCTTGGATCAGGCCGCTATTAGCATGAAGTCATTTTTCAGTGTCTGTGGAAAACAAAGAATAACAATTATAAGACCACTAGTAATAGGAAATAGCCAGGAGACTTCTGTGATGTGTTTAAGGGAACAAAATACAACGAGGTGATTTGTTTCCTCTGGCAAACAGCAGCACGCTTTGTACCCGAGCATATTCATACACTCACAAATGAGAAAGACATGAAGCTGCGGAGGGTCAGTCCCTTAAATAGAAATATTTGAATCATCATCATCTGAGAGCCCCCCCACGAGACTTCCCACTGAGCATTTTTTGGTCTAAAAGAGGTCTAATAGACATCTAAATGTAGCCTAGACGACTGGTCTAAAATCAGGCTACCACAGGTCTAAAAATAAAAGTTTTTTAGATGCCTAAATTTAGACTGAGTTTAGACTAAGTCTAAATCTGGGCTATATCTATACTTCGCTGTATATTGCTCAACGGTTATCATAATTATTTTGGTTAAGTACTTGGAGATCAGTTATGCAAGTCACAGTTGCTTTCTGAAATAAATAGTTAGTGTATATTGGGTTAAAGTGCAACGTCTAAATTCTGTCTAAAACTATACAGAATCTAGACAGTTGAAATTAGGTCTTAAAAAAACTAGACGTCTAATAGCCGCCTATTGCTCAGTGGGTTGGGTTTGAATATCTGTATATTTGTCTTTGTATGCTGCTTTATTGATCATGATAATTCTGGACCATCAGCATGGAGGGGTGTAAACTGCAAATCTCTCACCTATCTCTCTAGTTCGAAACTGTGAGACCTACCCAGGCTTTAGCAATTACAATATAAATATGGTCTTGGTGCTGCATGGTGGTGGTCTTGTTTGCCTTTTTATACCATATAAATTTTAGCCAATTTCACAATTGTCAAGATAAATCCCTTCAGGAGCTTTAACTGTGTATGTAGACATACTGCATGTGTTTACAGTGCTCTTTGATGGGACCTTGGGGGCTGCGCACTGAGCTGCTCCTTGCTGTTACTTTCTAGCTGATAAAACCCCTTTTTAAGGGTTAAAAAAATTAAGATCGCTAGTGCTCACAAAGGACTTGACAAAAGCTAACTTATAAAAAAACATGCTCATGGTGGGTAAAACATGTAGCTTGAATTGGTAGTTAGATGCTGTGCTGAGCTAAAGTAAAATAAAGGAAATCATATCACATTTAAAGAGGACTGACTAAGTTTGGGCCCATTCCTGAAGCACTCAGGCTCCTCAATGACT